CACACACACACACACACACACACACACACACACACACACACACACACCTCTGGGACATTTTACTTGAGACTTTCTATATTGGCTTGGCTGTGGAATCATTACCGACTACCCATGCCTCCAATGAATCCACTAACCATGTGTATCAATATATCAGCTGATTCTGCAGCATAGCATAGTAGATAGTAGAGCCATGTTGAATACTTTTCTGTCTTTCACTCATATTAGCTGTGTGCTCATAAGCAAACCACTTAATATCTCAGTGCCTTAGATGATTCTCTGAGAAGCTGTGTCTGAGACATTGCTATATTGTAGTACATTGGTATATAATGTCTAAGACATTTCCATATTGGAAATTCTCTTGTCCTGTGAAATCATGGATTCAGTGTTCCCCTTCCCCTATTCCCACCCCCCCAAAAAAACCCACACAAGAAAATAAAATCACAAGACATCCAGGGCAAGATGTATATTTGCAGGAATGCCAGGATTCCTTAAATATTTCACTTGGCCCAGTCATTTTTTCTCAGGTTCAATCTAATTTTATTTAAGTTTTGAATTTGTAGGTGGCTGCTAATTTGAATGACATTATTATCCATGTGTAGAAATATGCACATCTACCTTTTCTTAAAGAAAAATTTTAACTTGGGAAACGAAAAATAAAAAAATAAATTATGTATTTTAAATGTGTGTAGCAAGAACTATCTTATTACACCAGAAGTAGATACTATCTATTCTTTATAGTCATTTTGTAAAGTTTAAGAACTGTACTGTGTCTACTTCTGAATGAACTTGAGATTTTGTATGGATTAAAACCTGCTAAGAACAGATATCTAAAGACATGACAGAAAAAAGATTTTCTGAAGGAAGCCGGAGTGATAGATGCTTTTTAGATAATAATCAGATTCTAACACTTGGGAAATAAGTTTCTAGCAGTGAAGACAAACCATATCGGGTCATATAGTTTTCACATTATTACAATTAAAAGACCAATTCATCTGGAGACTTTCTCCCCTAGAATCAGACCCAAGCACCGCTTTATCTCATAAGCCTTTGTATAAATAAAAGATAGAACAGCAAAGTAGATAATATAATCAATCAAGAAATCTGAAACTACAGATAAACCAATTGTTTAGCATGGTTTCATTCAAAGCAGCAAATACTTATTGGTGGAAAGAAGATTAAATTTGGAGTGAATGTATCTTGAGTTCAAATCCTAGCTGTGCCATCTACTACTTGTATAACCTTGAACAAGTCAAGTAACCAGTCTGGACCTCATTTTCCCCATTTGTAAAATAGGAATAATAATATTTCTTTTACCTGCCTCACAGGGTTATTGTGGGACCTTTGCTTGTAACTGTAAATCACTATAGAAATATAGGTTATTACAACCAATTCAAGGCATTGACAAGTGGCTTTTTCTTATGTGACAGATATGGCAGAAAATTGAAGATGCAGAATGGAGGCCTCAGACTTACCTCGAGCTAGAGGGGTTGCCTTGCATATTAATATTTAGTGGAATGGATCCCCATGGAGAATCCTTGCCAAGGTGAGCACATGTGTATAATCTATATTTCCACCTATTCTACACAGTAACAAGGTCTTGCATTTATATGGTTCTTTATAGTTGCAAAGTGCTTTTCTATATAGTATTTGCCCTGGAGATGTAGCCTTGTAAAGTGGTTAAGGCATTGGACTTGGAGGTAGGAAGATCTGAGTTCAAATCCTGCTTCAGACATTTACCAGCTGTGCAGCTTTGGTTGAGAATCTTAAATGTCTCTGTGCCTGTTTCTTCATCTGTAAAACAGTCATTTGAACAATGGCTTCTATATACTTTTCAGCCCTAAATCTATGCACCAATGATTTCTTTTGATTCTCATAACAAACAACCTTTTGAGGTAGGTACTACAAATATTGTTGCCCCTATTTTATAGATGAGGACAGTGAGGTTCATGGAGATCAAGTGACTTGCCCAAAGTCATGCTGATAGGAAGTCAAAAAACAGAGACTCAAAACTCATGTTTTCTGTCTGATTCCAGGTCTACTGCTTACCATGTTGCTAATAAGCGTGCTATTTGATAGGTAATGATAATGATGATGATGGTCATAATGATAACAATAATAACAATAATAGTTAACATTTATATAGCACCCACTATGTTCCAGGTACTGTGACAAGCAATTTACAAATATCTCATCAGATGCTCTCAACAACCCTGAGAGGTAGGTGTTGCTATTCTCCCCATTTTACAGATGAGTAAAATGAAGCAAATGGAAGTTAAAAGACTCGCCCAGGATCACACAGATAGTAACTGCCTTAGGCCAGTAACTGCCTTAGTCAGGCTTCCTGACTTCAAGCCTCTGGTGCTTTATCTAGTGTGCCACTTAGCTTTTGTGTTTTTATTTTTATTTTTATTTTTTAAGGCAGCTGGGGTTAAGTGACTTGCCCAGGATCACACAGCTAGTAAGTGTCAAGAGTTTGGTCTGAGGCTGGATTTGAACTCAGGTCCTCCTGACTTCAGGGCCAGTGCTCTGTGCCACCTAGCTGCCTCTTTTTACTTTCCTTCTTAAAATTAGTTGGGGCAGTGTAATGTAAGTGAAAACAGGTATCACATTTTGAGTCAGAAGAGCTAAGAGATGATTATGATGTGGTGCTGCAGATAAAGCCCCGACCCATGTTCAAATTCTGCCTCAGATACTTTCTAGCTATGTGGCCCTGAACAAGTCACAATCTCTACCTGCCTCAGTTTCTTCATCTATAAAATGGGGTTAATAATAGCACCTATCTCCCAGGGTTGTTGTGAAAATTAAATGAGTTAATATTTGTAAAGCATTACACAAATGCTAACTATTATTAAGATCTAGGCTTCACTGCTTATTATACTATCTTTTTGCTTTTTTGAAAATCAGGATAATATTTGCCCATCTCTAGACCTGTGGTACCTCTCCAGTTCTCAGAGATCTTTCAGATGTATCTAATAGTGGCTCAGCAATTACATCTTCGAATTATTTCAGTCAGTACCTGGAGACCTAGGTCATCTGGGTCAGGTGATTTGGGTTCCCTAGGCATTCTCTTACTGCCTTTGACCTGGGTATCATTTCCCTGTTCTCCACTTCTGCTCTGTCCTTCTAGTTCAGTGTTCATTCTTTTTGGTAAAGGCAGAAGCAACATAAGAAGCAAGCTATTCTGCTTTCTCCCTCTCTGTTACCAATTGTCATCATCCTTTCTACCCTAAGAGTGGTCTTGTCTCTTCCTTTGTTCTCCTATTTCCCTTGATATAGCTTTTTTTTTTTTTTTTTTTTTTTTTTGCTTAGCTTTCAACACCAGGCTCATATCATTCTGAGCCTTAATACACTTGATATTATTCTTATGGTACCAAACTTTTGTATTCATCCTCTTTCTCTCATTGTGTGTGTGTGTGTGTGTGTGTGTGTGTGTGTGTGTGTGTGTGTGTAGATATATGTCTTTCTGAAGTCCAAGTTAGTTGCTGAGTTCTCTGGAGGTCCATGTTTATTTCTTTAGACAATTCTCCTTTTTATTCCTCATTATAATTATTTTTAACTATGAAGCTCTTTAGACAAACTTATATCTAGTCTCTCCTTTCCTATTCTTGGTTGAATTTTTGAACCCGTATTGAAGTTTCACAAAGGTAAATTCATTCTATTAGATTCTGTCCATTGTTCTAGCCTGTAGAGATGTTTTGGGAACCTGACTCTGTCATATTCATACACTGTTCTAGCTATCCCTGTCAGCTCTGTGTTTTCTGCAGATTGATGATCATGCCATTTAGACCTTTATCCCAATCAGTAATAAGTAATAAAGCAGCACTGAGCCAAGCATAGTAGTAGACTATTACCTCTTTCAGAGTAGAGGTCATGTCTTGTTCTGTCTTGTGTCTCCCATAGCATATATCATAATTGCGGACATACTCTTGGGGCGCAGTGAAGACATGCTGATGGGTTGGTTTTTGTGACTAAGAGCATATAAGAACATATATTCTGCTTGTTTTCCTTCCCTCCATTCCTTTTTCTGGTCTACCCAGAACTCAACATTTTGAGGAAGTATTTCAGGTGATGGTGGGTAATGTCTGGGAAACAACCAGAGCCATTTATCTCATTTTCTTATCTATTCTTAGGTCTTTAAGGTACTGTGACCTGCGCTTAATAAACTCATCCTCCTTGGTGAGAACAACCTTAGAGCAAGAGCTTGGCTTGGCAGCCTATTTTGTGAGTTCTGAAGTCCCCATGGAGAAAGTGACCGTAGGTGAGGTCTTGGAAAGTGACCCGGAGAAGCTGAGCAGTACAGATAATGAAGATGAAGAGATAGTGACTGAAGGTGTGTGGGCATGTATGGAATGAATGACTCTGGCAGGCCCTTCAATCTACAGGTTGACTTCTTCCCAATCAAACTCCTTAACAGAAATGGTAGACTTTGCAAGTTAGTATTATACACATTGTAAAATGGAGTCCTGAAGATACTTTTAATGTAGTTCACTCCATTGATGGTATAGACAGTCCAAATTCTGGTTTGTTTTGACCTAGTTCTACAACCTGGTCTTGCCCTACATTTCAGACTTATTTTGTATTGGTCTCTGCTATATGTTCTGTGCTGTAGCCCAACTGCATTGCTGATCACGCCCTAAATTTACCCTGTGATTTTCAACTTCTTTGTCCATGTTCAACTTCCCTCTGCATGGAGCTTCCTCTGTTTTCTTCTTCTCCTGTGGACATCCAACCCATCCTCATCAAGTGTCACCTCCTCCCTCATTACTCCAGCGGTAACTGAGTTGTTTGTACCCCTCAAACATACTTCTTCTGTAATACTGTCTTTTTATTTTCATAGTGTCCCCCTATTAAATTGTAGGCTCCACTGGGATCAGGGAACTGTGTTATGTCTCATCTAAACTTTGTAGCTGTTGTGTTATTGAGAACAGTGCTCACACAAAGTATGTATTTGATAACTTTTTGGGGAATTGAAATGCTAGGGAGAATACTGCCTAGTATAAGCTTTACCTGTTTATTAGGTAAAAATAACGTTAATACTTTTTTTGTTTTGGAGATTTAGAAGAACGGACTAAATTCTAGAAAGGCTGTAAAATCCTATCTTGTATTTAAAGAACAAAGACAAAAATGGAAATCATCAAAGCACAAAGTAGATTGTTCAGGTTTTAGCAGCGAGTCTAGGAAAGAAAAAGAATTCCCTATAAAGAAAGACAAGTTTCATTTGAAATTTCTGTCCGCGTCTGTGTTTTTTTTAATAGGTTCTGTGTCAGAGAAGAGAAGTCCTGTCAAAAGGGAGAGATCGTGTTCCCATGATTCTGTATCTTCATCTCTTTCTTCAAAAACTTCAAGTAAGAATTTTCAAATGGGAAAGATCATAGCAATAGGTTTTTTATTACAGTATTTTGGAGAGGAACTCAAGAGGCAGTGCAGTATGGTGAGAAAAGCAATGGGTTTGGAGTCAGAGGACACACAAATCCTTCCTCCATCATTTACTAATCTCTAGGCCTCAGTTTCCTCATTAGTATATAGAAGAGGTTGGAATAGATGACTTTTAAGATTCAGCTCTAAATCTATGATTACAAGTGATCCATATTTTGAATTAAGATTATCATCATTTTTGTGGGGGATAGTATTACTGTTGCTTCAAAAGAAATACCTAATGATACCTATAATGATGATACCTAACATTTATATGGTGCTTACTATGTGCCAGGCACCGTGCTATGTGCTTTATCCTTATTGTCTCATTAGATGCTCACAACAACCTTGGGAGGTAAATGCTATATTTTTCCCATTTTTACAGATGAGGAAACTGAGGCAAATAGAAGTTAAGTGACTTGCCCAGGGTCAGATAGTGTCTGAAGTTGGATTTGAACTTGAGTGTTCCTGACCCCATGCTCAAGGCTTTATCCACTATGCCATTTAATTGCCTACCATACAAAGTATATCTGCTTCTCTCTATACTTATATAGAATTCACCATCTAAATCTCTCACTACTAGGAATATTCAAGTGGGTCCTGAGACCTTGAGTAATTCCTGTTTGATATGACTTTGGTAGTTCTTTTCATTGTCCTATCTTGTTCTGGACACTATGCTTCTATTCATGAAGGCTAGGATAGCTTAGTTTTTTTGAGCACCAAGACATATTATTGATTTATATTGAGCCTATAGGCCATTAATCCCCCCCATATCTTTCTTTAAAATTTATGTTATCTGTTGTTTAGCTACATATTCTTCAAGCTGTATGTAGTAGAGTACTTGGTTTTTTTGAACCTAAGTGTAGGTCTAGGACTTCATAATTTATTAAATTCATCATTCCATTGTCCCAAAATCATAACCAATAGTTGGTTGGTTATTCCAGCTTTGCATGATGCTTTCTTAGGTTATCAGCTATAGCGATTTCAAATTTAATCTAGCATATGAAACTTTTCTTACAAAAATAATGTTTCAAGGTAATACCACTTTCATCTCCATCTCCTAGAATCCTCTTGAAATTTCCTTCAAAACTCAGTCCAGGGGGCAGCTAGGTGGTGCAGTGGATAGAGCACCGGCCCTGGATTCAGGAGGACCTGAGTTCAAATCCGGTCTCAGCCACATAACACTTACTAGCTGTGTGACCCTGGACAAGTCACTGAACTCCATTGCCTAACCCAAAAAAACAAAACAAAACAAAAAAACTCAGCGCAAGAACTGCTTTCTACATAAAGCCTTTCCTGATCCTCTCAACTGTTAGTACCTCTTCACCAATTATCAGATATATATTTTGTATATGCCTATAAATATATGTGTATATATGTGTGTGTATATATATATATTAATATGTGTGTAAACACACACACTAATGTAAGCTCCTTGAACGGAGAGATTATTTCATTCTTTTGTATACCCAGAATCTGTCTTATGGTCACTGCTGGTTGATTGATTGATCTATCCATTTCAATTTTTCATTGAGGAAAACGCAACTCAGCATATAGTTTGTGGTTGTCATCCCTGAGTTAGTTAGTATAAATGCTGGCCTGAAATACAGCTTTTCTTTTCAGGTATGGCCTTTGGCAATGAATCATCTCCACCCATAATAGCATTGGGTGAGAGGGCCAGATCCCCATATCCTTCCCTCAACAGTGTGATGGAAGATGGTGCAGCTGCCTGTGAGAAGCAGAGACAGAAAGTAAGTCAAGGTGCTCAGACTACCACCAGCAGGCACTGCCCTGGGCCAGGAGAACAAGACATGTGCCCGAATCCAAAACCAAACCTTAAAAGTGTCCAGGTTTCAGTCGCCTCCTCATCTTCACCATATTCTTCCTCTTCCTCTTCTTCCTCTTCTGCACCGACTTCAAATGCTTTCATCTTGCAGAACTCCCAGTGCTCCATGACCAAAGGATTGAAGCAACCCCCTGTAGTTTTCCTGCCCAAGTTGGTGTATGACATGGTTACTTCCACAGACAGCAGCGGCCTTCCTAAGGCATCTTCCCTTCTGCCCTACCATTCAGTCATGTGGGCCAGTTCTTTCCGCCCTCTCTTGAGTAAGATGATGACCTGCACGGAGCAATCTCTCTATTACCGCCAGTGGACTGTCCCCAAACCCAGCCACATGGACTACAATAATAGAAATGAGGGCAGAATGGACAACTTTCACCCGAGGAGACTGCTATTGAGCGGTCCCCCTCAGGTACGTTAATTGTAAGCTTGGGGTGTATGTAGTGTTCTTGATTTTGACTTTCTTATTCCTATTTACCAGTAGGTTCTTAGTCTAGTAGAATAACCCTTTCTTTGGGATTTAAAAAAAAAACACAACTATTTGCTCTAGTTATACCATCTGATTAATCAGTCAGCAAGCATTTATTATGCATTTACTTTGGACCAGGAACAGTGATTAGTAATGGGACTTAGTAATTATGGGACATTACTTATGAAAGGGAACTGTATGGTCCCTGATCTCTAGGAGCTCATATTCTGCTGGGAAAAAATTGTTCATACAAGATTTATACAGTAGAAATGGAAGGTGATCTCCAAGGGATTGTAGTAGGAGAGAGAGAGAGAAGGAGAGAGAGAGAGAGAGAGAGAGAGAGAGAGAGAGAGAGAGAGAGAGAGAGAGAGAGAGAGAAAGAGAGAGAGAGCACGTATGTGCATGTAACTGAAAAAAAGACTTCCTACAAAAGGTGGGATTATGATATTTTCCAGAATGTAGTAGATGTAGTGGAATTGGAGTCAGAAGACAAGAATCTGTGTTTTATTGACTTTGTCCCTAAGCAACTGTAGAATTTTGATTTGGTGATTGTACTTATTGCTTCAGTTTCCTCCTCTATAAATGAAGAACTAGATTATCTCTAACATCTGTTCTGGTTCTGAAATTCTGTGACCATGGAGTCTATGGTTCTACTCTTTCTTCACTATACGTGAGCCATATGATGGTACAATTCACTTGACATCTCTAAGATTCAGCTTCTCTATCTGCAAAATAGGGGTTGTATCCTTTGTCCTCTATACCTCACAGGATGGAAGTCATGTGAATTAAAAACTTTAAGGTACTATACAAATGGAAGAGATTATTACCACCAGTAGAGCTTCAGTGACGTCTACCTATATTTTAAAAATAAATTTATCATTTTGATTTGGGGTTAAACTCTTTAGTTGGTTGTGAGAGAGGACACTGAAGTCACTGTATCTTGCATATGAACTACCTGTGCTAGCCTTACATATTGACGTATGGAACTCATCCAGAGGAAGAGAAAAATCTTAAATCAAGGTTTACAAATAGTAGTTGTGATTCTATGGTGGTTTATATTTATCAGATCATTTTATCATCAGTCATCTCTACCATCTCCATAACAATCCTGTGAAATAGGAAGTGATTTTCACGTTACAGATGAAGAAACCAAGGAGCAGGGAACTAAATGATTGCCCCAAATCACACATCAAGTTAGTGCTAGGGTCCTAACTTAGAATTTGCCACTTGGATGAATGAGTGAAACATTTATTAAGCAATTAGTATGTGAAAAGCACTATGCCAAGTACCAGGGTTAGAAATAGAAAATTAAGACAGTCCCTTCTCTCTATGAGCTCACATATTAATGAGAGAGACACCAAAATCGAGGGTTTCAGGTGTATGTCAGGTGGAAAGGTCCCATGGTCCTTAAGGTGCGGTGATGAAGTAGATGTTAATGTATTTTTTTAATGTCATTTCCACTGATAAAATCCTTTTAGTTTCTGATGTTGAATTATTTGATTGAATGTAGTAAGAACTTTATTTTCTTGGTCTTCAATAAATGTTGTGGTAGCACCTTCAGGAGCAGTTACCAGGTTGCATTTCCATAGGGATCGCTTCCAAGGATAATTTTGTGGGCACTGGGCTGAGAGCATTGCCCTTGGCCTTGGGATCCTGGGCTGTCTGCATCTAAGGGAAGATGCTGGTAAAGGTGGTGGTAGTGATTTGACTTGCCTGGCATGTGCCACTTCTTGTCTCCTTGAGGAGGACTTGCTGCTTTAGCTAGGTTGGCTTATTTATTAGCTGTGTGAACTTGGTCCCTTCCCCTTTTCAAGTCTTAATTTCTTTATGTAGAGAATGAATTTTTGCAACTAGGGGCTCTCTGTAAGGGCCCTTCCCCCTCTGTGATCCTCTGATTTAGTACATACTTCACAGCTAGCAGATGGGGTATCTGATTCCTAAAGAGGTGAGGTGACTTGATGAGTTTCATAGAGTACCTGAGTAGTGACTCAAACCCTAGGTAAGTTTTTTGACTACCAAAGTCATGACTCTTTCCATGAAACTCTGCTTTACAAAGCTAATAGTTGACAGAACCAGTGCTAACATACCATTCTTCTGTTTTTCATTTGAGTACTCTTGATGCTTTAGCAAGAATGAGTACATAAATGCTAATATAGGCATGCACCATGTTGCCATATTGATAGGTCATTTAGCTAAAGATTTTTATACTCCTTTTACTCCTAAACACTCTGGTTTTCACTAATTGTCCAGTGTCTTATTGTTAAATGTCTTCTACAAATGTAATTGATCAAAACATTTAATATGACTCAGGCTTGTTTTTTTCTTTCCTTTAGTTCCTTCCCACTGATGGAAATTTTATGGTATTTCCAAGGAACTTAAGCTCATAGTGTAGTGGGAAGAATCCTGGACAAATAGCCATAAGACCTCACTGCTATTTCCAGTCCTGCCAGTAACTAATTATATGACCTTGGGTAATTCATTTTCCTTTTTTGAGCCTCTTTCCTCCCACTAGAAAAAAAAGGGAGTCAGGTTAAATATTTTTTAAGGGTTCTTCCAGTTATAACATAGTCTATGATTCTGTGAAAGTCTTTTTTGTTTAAAAATGCATATTCTCATTGGGACAGTAGCAACAAACTATCAGAAGTGTCATTCCATGTCAATAGTACTAGAGAAAGCAAGAATTATATAGAAAATCTCTAGCCAATCAAGACACTGACTCTTAATCTAGCATTTGGCTTAAAGAAATCAAACCTAACTGTTTATAGCTTTGTAATCTTTTTTTTTCCTAAATCAACAATGCAGCAAACATTTTTAAGGACCTACTACGTATAGGACACCTTTCTAGTCATTGGGGATACAAAGACATATTGAAATAGTTCCTGCCCTCAAGAAGCTTATGTTTGATTGGGGAGTCACATTATGTACACAGATGAGAAAATAATAGCTAAAGTGCTACCTAGCACTTTAAAGGTTTGCAGTGTGTATATATATATATATATATATGTGTGTGTGTGTGTAGGTGTATGTATACATATATACTCTATACATACACACGTACATATATATACACATATATAAATGTATGTGTGTATGTATGTATGTATGCATGTATACACACAGGCAGCTAAATGGCACAATGGATAGATTACCAGGCCTGAAGTCAGGAAGACTCGTCTTCCTGAGTTCAAATCTGGCCTCATACACTTCCTAGCTAAGCGACCCCCGGCAAGGCCCTTAACCCTGTTTGCCTCAGTTTCCTCATCTATAAAATGAACTGGTGGAGGAAAATGGCAAACTACTCCAGTATCTTTTCCAAGAAAACCCAAAATGGGGTCACAAAGAGTCAGACACAACTGAAACTACTGAACAAATGTGTGTATATACGTGTGTGTGTGTGTATATGTATATATACACACACACACATATACACTATTTAATCCTCACAACAATGCTGTGAGGTAGGTGCTATTATTATTCCCATTTTACTATTGAGGAAACTGAGGCTAAAGGACTTGCCTAGAATTACGTTACTTGAAATTGCCCGAGGTGCTCTGCTCTGCTTTGCTACCTAGCTACAAAATGTATACACAATAGTTCAAAGTTACTTCTAAATATGTTATATATGTATATATGTGTATATATATATATATATATCTCTCAAATAAGTTGACAATGAACAGAATTAAACTCAGGTTTTTTTTTTTCTGAAAGCCCATTCTTCTCAACCTACCCCCCCACTCTCCACTATCTTTTTGAAAGAATAATATAGAAACATTCCCATTCTTTTCTAACTTTATTCATTTACAAACAACTTAATTTGGCCTTTTTTGCTTCTTGACTTCTATATAAATGCATGAATCCTAAGAAAAGGGTAAGAAGTTTGTCTCACTTCCCAGGGATTAGTGTTCTCTGCCATCTCTCATTTTCTAGGAATGAATCTCATTCACTTTTCATTTTCTGTCTAGTCTAGGAATACCAGAAAATGCTACACAGAAAGCAGATTGCTCCGTTTAAACTCATTTAATAATCAATCTTATTTTGATTAGCCCTGAAGCAAAGAGACACTGTTCAGTTGATCTACAACTGCACACATATTGATGTCTCCTCACTGTGCCAGCTGTCTCAAAGAATTCGTTAAAGCCGTTTCCCATTTAATATATTGCCTTAAAATTTCTCTCCCAAGGCTTTTAATGAGCTCTTTGAAATATTTTCAGAAACCTATTTGCGATGGGAAAAGCTCTCTCAGATGGTCACTTGTATAAGGGAATTTAATGCAAATATAGTCAAGATTTCTCCATAGGCTCCAATGTGTCCCTTTGAATACAAGCTGCTTGAATTCATAGGCTAGGATTTTACTTCTGGGTGAAACGAGAGAACATCTCAGGCTGTTGATTTTGAGGAACCTTCACCTAATTATAACCTTAGTTTCTCTTCTTTCCATAATTAGGTGGCCAACATCTCACCTCTCCTTGTCAGTGCTGCTGAAGTGATGCCATCAGGGAGGGTAGCAGTACATTGGACATACTCTTGTGAAAGCATTTTTCAGTGTCAGTGCTAGCACGGTGCCTGGCACCTAAGAAATGCTTAATGAATGCTTGTTAGCTTGGCTGAACTTTGGAGATTCAGATAATGTGTAAACTCACTTGTTTTGTCTATATAGTATCCATCGAATTACTCACTTCCCCACGTTGTATATCCTTGCCAAATTAACCTTGTTGCCGTTTCTCCTACAAGACATTCCATTCATGTCTGTGCCTGGAACAAACTCCTTCCTCACCCCTACCTCTTAGAATCAGAAGCTTTCTTCAAAGCTTAGCTTGAGTGTTATCTTCAATAGGAACCCTGTCCTGATTTCCACCAGATGCTACCTACTCTGAAATTACTCTGTGTATGTGTGTGTGTGCGTGTGTGTGCATGCTCATGTGTTAATTCATATGTCTGTATGTTCTTGCAATGGCATGTAAGTTTCTTGAGAGTAGTCTTTTTTTTTGGGGGGGGGGTCTTCTGTCCCCAGTGCCTAGCACTGTAGGTGTTGAATGCTTCTTGATTGAATGACTCCAATTCAGCAAATGTTTTAAAAGTACCTACTATGTACCTAGCACTGTGCTTTTTTCAGGGAAACAAAGATGGAACAACAACACAGTTCCTGCCCTCAAGGAACTTAACTATCAAGTTGGAGTATGCAGTATGGTCACACAGGGTACAAATCAGAATGTGATAAGGACAAAGCAACAATCCAGACTTAGTGTTCCTGAAAAACATGAAGCAGAAATAATTATTTTAGTTGTTAGGATCATGAAAGAGAAACCTTAGTTGGGCCTTGAAGTAAGACAAGTATTTCGGCAGGCAGATATGGAGAGTGAGTAGAGGGGAAAGATGTCTGGAGGCAACTACTAGTCTGATTTGGCTAGAATGTAAAGAATGAAAGGGGAGTAGTATTTACTAAGACTAGAAAGGTTAAATTAAAGTTTTATTGTAGAGAGTCTTGAATGCTAGATTAATGAGTTTTCCAGGGGAGTTGGCCACTAGACCAACTAGCATAAAGGACAAAGGACTGAGGAGATCTTGCTTCTTCCAAATATGGGGAACAAGAAGAATTCTGCAAAGACCTGCATAGAATATGTGATGTTCCAAAGGACAGGCTCATTACTCCCTTAGAAGACAAGGTAATAGAACTTGAAGAATACCTCTTCATTTTCTTGGTTATCGGGAAGAATGAACTGTTTCTTTAAAAAAAAATAGAAAAACACAAAGAAGAAAAAATAAAATATTTGCATTTATTCTGTGTTGTATTTATATTTATTCTGAACATACTTGTATGTACTTGTCACTGTGATTGAAATATAAAACTCCGCTTGAATGAGCATTATTTTTTTTCATTGTGTTTATATCCTCAGTACTCAACACAATAAGCCTGTACCTGGCATATAGTCACTTAATAAATACTTGATTGATTGACCTGAAAAGAGAGGGCAATCCTGACGTGTGCTATGAGGTCAGAGGGTGAAGGAATGTGGCAAAGAGGAGAAGGAAAGGAGAACCATAGATCACTCATTCAGTCAATACTTCAACAAACATTTTATTAAATGCCTATTATCTGTCAGTCACTATGTTAGGTGCTGGGCATACCAAAGCAAAAATAAAATAGTCTTGGCTCTCAGGGAGCTTGGGTTCAATTAGGGGAGGTAACATACACATATAAGCACATACAAAATAAAGACAAGCTAATTTTGGAATTCAAAGAGAGACTAGCAGCCAGGTGGATCAAGAAAAGTTTTATGTAGGTGGCAGTATTTGAGTCAAGCTTTGCAGGAAAGTAGGCATCCTAAGAGATGGGGTGAGGAGGGAGCACATTCCAGGCATGTGTAATAGCACGTGTTGTCACAGAGTCATACCATATGACCATATCTCCAAGAAAGCCAGTTTGATGGACCCATGCATGGTGTATTTAAAGGGAGTAATGTATACTAAGCCCAGAGCTAAGTAACAGCTATGAGGCTCTTCCTGAAGTGTGATACACATGTGCCACCAGGCAAGAGATAATTATAATAGATGATTTTTGTATTGTGCTTTGAGTTTTGCAAAGATATATATGTGTATATATATATATATATATATATACACATATGATTAAAAACATCACTAAATGATGGTGGGGATACAGATACAAACAAACAAGACAGTCCTTGATCTTGAGGAGCTTACCTTCTAAAAGGTGCTAGGCAGGAATGATTTGGACAGGAAAGTCTGAGGAAATGGTGATTGGAACTATTGGACAGATGATTTATATGTCCTTTTCAAGAACAGTAATGTTGATTTGATAGCTATTCTTAAGAGTTAGATTTGGAAAGTTTAGAGGGGTGGGAGGTAAGGTAGAAGGGTTAGAAGGGAGAGCGTGTCTCAGAAGTGGAATGTGGACCCAAGAACCAGGCAAGGTGAGTTCTCACCAATCAGGGCTCAAGGTCACAGAGGTAGAAAGAATTCTGAGGTCTGGTTGGGGATAGAGGATGGAGAGCAGGTGGCATGTCATGGGAATGTTTAGAAAGATGTCTGTTATTTCATTTGAGCCTCAAAAGAACCTTCTAATGTAAGGACAAAAAGTTAATATTTTCAGGTTATTGATGATGAAACTAGGTTCAGAAAGGTGAAGATCCATGATCACATAGCTAGTAAATATGGGTTCTTTGAAACCTGGACTTCATGACTCCAAATTTAGTACTCTAACCATTATTCAAGGTTCCTCCTCTGGCTAGTTAGTATCAGAAGAAGAAGAGACAAGTAATTTTCTGCTAAAGAGTACATAAGTAGCCCCTTATTTTCCTGGCACTAACAAAAGAGATTATGAGATCTTATTGGGTTATGTAACTGGGATGGGGTGGAAAAGATCTTGAGAATTTTCCAACCTAATGATGACTGCCTATCTCATAGGATTTTAGATTTTGAAGTGGAAGGCAACTTAGAAGTCATCTAGTGCAACTTCTCCATTTTTCAGATAAAGAAATTAAAGCTGAGAACTTATCCAGAGTCACACAGCCATTAAATGGAAGTCAGTTTTCAAACCCAAGCCCTTGGATTCCAAATTCAATCCCCACCCCACTCTATCATTCTTTGTCTTGATTCACATGGGCACAAATGGTACTGTCAGAAAGAACAGTATTGCTAATGATTGTGAAGCCTTGGACAAGAAACTGATGAATAAGATAATATACTTTAATTATGGATATTTGAATATAATGACAGTGTTAAGTTGGGGTATCTTATGAATTGCACAATGGGTGAAATTTCATTAAACTTAAATAGATTATTATTTACTGATTAGAATGAATAAGTTCAATGAAGGCAGAGTATCTGATTGAGAATAAAGAAATGACTACCTTCAAACGTAAAAAAAGGAAACAGGGCCAAGCTGAATTAATTAGGTAACTGTTCTCTGTTATTGACTTTCTCCCTCAATTTTCCCCCCAAAACTGTAAGTTATTTGTCATAGTCTCAAGAAAAATTCATCAATACCTTATCTTTTATCCTTTGTTTTCCTTCTTGTTTATAGGCCCTTTGGTGTGAATCATTTTATTATATATTTATATAGGTCTGAGAGATAAGGAAGGGAAGGTAGCAAAGAAGGACCCTGAAAAGTACCTAGGGGAAGGAGTAGTTAACCTATAAGTATGGCACAGGTAACTGGTTCCCATTTTTTGGCATGTTGTATGAAGGGAAGAAATAGGAAGGGACACCAAGATTTCCCTCTGCTAACAAATGTCCTCCTCTCCTCAATTCCTATCAATCTGAGATTCTCTGGGGCTAACAAGAAGTTCTTTGAGAATGACTATTCTATTCTAGAGAGGTTAAAGCTTACCAGCTATTCATACCTTATTATGAGCCAATTCTTTAAAATGAGATAATACCAGCCTTGGTTGATTGATGAGCAAGAAAGAAAGGGGTAGTCCATTTTAGGATGTGAAAACTTAAAAGTGGGGTAAATCTTTGTTATTGTATTTAGTGGTGGTGGTGGTTATGAGGCTTGTGGATACTGGGGGGCAGTATAAAATTCCTGGTGGTAGGGAAGGGGGCCGAAGAGAACAATAAAAAGAACCTTTGCCCACTTTGCAACTTTTCTGAGAGTCATCTCTGATGGCCCATGTGTCATGCTAATTGTTACATGAAAGAGGGATTAGACTGTTTTTTGAGACTTAGTTTCTTTATCTTGCTCATGCTGGAAGTGTAGTGGCCATTTATGGGCCCAGTTCCATTGCTGATAGGTACAGAAACTTTGACCTGCTCCATTTCTAACTTGGGCAGGTTTGCCCCTGTGTAAGCAGCTTCTGGCTGCTGCTATATTGATGTTGGACTTAGTGAAAACACCTGATCGATTTTAGCCCCTCTGCAGCAAGTAGTTGTTACAATAGAGGATGAGATTATCCACTTTACTGTGTCCTTACACAGGGGTTAATGACTTTCTAATATTAGACCATGAGGTAGTTGGTGAATTTCTATGTTGTTTGTCCTTCAGAATACCACGAAATGATTGGAATTTTTCCCTTAAAAGCATCGTCTATATCTTACTGTCAAATTGTAGGTGTATCCCAAGGCTCTGTCTTGGTTCTTCTCTCTTTAAATCTCTCTAAGTAATACCCTTTCATCTGCCATTAATTCAATTATCATCCCTATGAGAATGACTCTCACTTATTATTCTCCATCCCACTCCCTTTCCAAACTTCCCTATTTCTGTCAAGAGCACCATTATCCTTCCATTCAACCTTGGTTGTCATCTCTAACTTTTTACTCTCCTTCATCTTCCCCTGTCTCCCCCACATCCATGAGGTGCCAAGTAAAATAGATTCTATGTATTCTGTCCCTCTCCCATTCATTCTCTTCTCTTGGATTGTGGTTACCACCAGAGTTCAGCCCATATCACCTCTCTTTAAGACTACTGAAATCACCTCTTAATTGATCTCTCTCCCTCCAGTCTGTCCCCTCTTCAGTCCATTCTCCCCACAGCTGGCAGACTGATACTCCTAAGGCACAGCTCTGACCATGACATTCTTCTGCTCAGTATGCTCCACTGCCTTCCTACTATCTCGAAGACAAACACAAATGCCTTCATTTGGCATTTAAAGTTCTTTGCAACCTGCCTTAAACCTATCTTTCCCAGTCTTATTCCACATTATGCTTCTTAATGCAACTCTATAGTCTAGTCAAAATGGTTTTCTTTAAAGATACTACCTAAAATGGTGGCAGTTTAACATATAGGGAAAAAAACATTTGTCAATGATTCATGGTCCAGCAAAATGGTTTTTCTTGTCTCAGCTTTTTTTATTTTGTTTTGTTTTGTTAATCTGAACACATTAGGACTGAGTGTTTAAAAAAAAAAGCCTCAGGGTTTGTTGCTGCCTCACTTAGCCTCTTCTCTTGTACGTTTACAGATAGGAAAGACAGGCACCTATCTTCAGTTCCTCAGCATCTTGTCTAGGATGCTTATCCGTCTGACAGAAGTTGATGTCTATGATGAAGAAGAGATCAACATCAGTAAGTCATCATCTGGCCACAACTGTAATCAGGAACTTCATTTATCAAATCATTGGTTGGAGTTTCATTATGTCCTTTATATCCTCAGGGATTGTAAATTCCTCTAGTTCGAGGAATGTGCCCTATTCATCTCTGTATCCCTAAGGATTAGTGTTTAGCAAAAGATCTTATGCATGGTCGATGCTCAGCAACTGTTTTTCAATCAATTGTTTGACAGTAAATATTAGATAACACTGTTAGTGGATCTGTTCCTATGATACTTTCTTTACCTCTCATAAAATTTATCACACTCTGCCTTGTATCATAGTTCTTTTATTTCTTATGTACTTTATCAGACTACAAACTCCACAAGGGCAAGACTGTATTACATCAATCAATCAACAACCATTTATTAAACCCATGCTATGGGCCAGGTACGGGAATGCGAGGGTAAAAGAAAACACTCACTGACCCAAAGGAGCTTACATGTTAATGAGGAAATCAACATGCACATCTGTAAATATGTACAAAACATATACAAAAGAATAAACTTTGGAAATAACCTTTGGAGGATCAAGGGTAAGGGTTGAGTAGAGGAAGGCATACAAGCAACTTCTAGGGGATCTAGGGAATCAGGAGAGTCCTTGAGCAGGAGATACGACCTGAGCTGATCCTTGAAGGAAACTAGGTATTCCAAGAGGTAGGGAGTACATATATGTTCCAGGCAGGAACAATAGCCAATACTGTTAAAGGACAGAAAGAAATGAAATGTAGTGATCTAGTGAGGAAAGACAAGTCCACAGAGGAGTCAGAGTATACGAAAGAGAGGCAGATATGATACGACTGGGAAGGTAAGATGAGGCCGGTTTGTGAAAGGGATTCAAATGCCAAATTATGAAGGGCCATGGCTGTGCTAAGTTAAAATTCAGTCTTCCTTCTCTTTATTCTGTAAGGTTATCATTGCACCTTAGCTCTTCTCTCCAAGGTTAAAGTCTGGGTGAGAAATGGGCAATTCAGGCTGTGTCATATGGCACAGCTGGGCAAGTCCCATGGTGATAAGTGAAGCCTCCTTAGTTTGGGGACATCTACGTCATGTTCCCGACCTTTGAGTGAACCCAAGGCTCTGTCCTGGGACCTTTCCTCTTCCCTTTCTACATTTGCTCACTTGGAGACCTCAGCAGCTCCCATGGGTTTAACTCTCTATGCAGGTAACTCCCAGTTTATGTGTGCATGTACATACCTACATATTTATGTAGGTGCAGATATATGATGTGTCTGCATGTATATGTGTTCATATTTGTATATGTGTATAGGTCCATTGTGTATACACCTGTATATATATTATGTATATATGTATACACACACATATATATACATATATGTGTATACATGTGTGTACATATACTATATATATTGGAGAAGGAAATGACAAACCACTCCAGTGTCTTTGCCAAAAAAGACCCCAAATGGGGTCACAGAGTTGGACACAATTGAAGAAAAGATAACTGAACAACAACAACAACATATGCACAAGGTACCATATATACATGTACATTATATACTGTATGCATATGCAATATATGTAGCATGTATTGCCCACATACGTGCATATATGCACACATGCTCACACAAAGCTATACATAAGCACCTGTAGATGTATGTGAACATATGTATGCATGAGCGTATAGGTGTGTATACATATACATACACATATACATAGACATACACACATATATGAATGAAAAATGAAGTGATGTTGCCCTTAACCAAAGAGGTGGGAAGTGTGATAATGAATTTTGTTTTACAAATATTGAGTTTGAAATGTCTATGGGACATCCAATGTGTATATATATTTACATGTATGTATACACACATATATAGGTATTTGTGTGTACGCATACGCATATGTATATGTGTCTCTCCAGCCCCAGTCTCTCCTGAGTTACAGTCCAACATCAACAACTGCCTTTTGAATATTTCAAACAAAATAGCATATGTACAAATCTTAATGAGCTATATAAATTCTAGCCATTATATAAATACTAGCTATTAAACTGGATATCCCATAGACATTTCAAACTCAGTACGTCTAAAAAACACAATTCATCGTCTCTGCTCCTCCTACTCCTCACCTGAACTTCTTTATTTTTATTAATTGCGATATCCTTTCATTTTCCTCAGTTCCTCCATATTATACTTAACTCCACACTCTTCCCCAGTCCACCTATTCATTCAGCTGCCAATTCATGTCATTTCTACCTCCATGGTGTCCTTCTGACCCCTTTTCTTTGCTTATGTGGATACCACCTTAATTCAGGCCTTCATCTCCTCATGTCAACTACTGTAGTAGCATCTTAATTTTGCTTCATGCTTACAATTTGTCCTTTTTACAATCCATCCTTTGTACAAATGCCAAAGTGATCTTCCTAAACTGCAGGTCTAACCCTGTCACTACTCATTACTCTACTCAGTAAATTCTAGTGGCTGCCTATTACCTCCAAGATAAGTAGAAATTTCTCTGTTAGGCAAATACAGTCCTTCACTACCTTGTCCTAACCTATTTTTCTTGCATTTTACATTACTTTTCTTCCTGCTCCTCCATTTATTCTCCCTTCCTATTCTGTAGTCCATCCAAACTGACTTTCTTGCTGTTCCTCCTGCACAATGTGTCTTCTCCCATCTTTATGCCTTTGTACTGGCTGTCCCCTATACTTGAAATATACTCCCTGCTTGACTCTGCCTCTTACCAGCTTTTGTTTCTTTCGAGATTCAGCACAAGCCCTACTTTCTTCATGAAGCCTTTCCTGACCACTTCCCTCTCCCAACCCCAAACTACTAATTTTTTCTCTCCTAAATCTACCTGGTATATCATAGGATTATAGCTCATAGAATCATAGACTTGGAGTTTGGCAGGGACTTTAGAGGTCATTGAGTCTGAAAACTGAGGCAGACAGAGGGTAAGTGACTTGTTTTGGGTCACACATTTAGTAAATGTCTGAGGCAAGATTCAAACCCAAGTCTTTCTGACTCTAAGTCCAATACTATGTCCCTACACCATTTATTTCATATATCTATATATATCTATATATATCTATATAGATACACACACACACACATATATATGTATATATACAGTATATATTTATTTATTTTCATGTCTCCTCTGTCAGGTAAAATGTAGGCTCTTTGAATGCAGGACGTTTTCATTTTTGTCTTTGTATCAACAGTATCCGGTACATTGCCTGATAAATAGTAGGGACTTCAAAAAAGTTGATTGATTGGTTGATTGATTAGGCATAAGGTGTTTCCAGGCAGTACCTGTACAAGTTGAGTCCAGAAGCCATCATGCCAAGCCTTTGGGTCATGGAGCTAAAGGGTCAGAGAGTTATTGCAGTTTGGAAACAGAAGCAAGGTCAGAATCGGGATCAGTTAAGTTAAAAATCAAGGTCTATAGATAGCTGGCAGGGATTGAATATCAAGGTAGACAATAGGAGCTTGGATTCACCAAAAGGTTTTGTTTACTAGTCCCGATGTTCTGTGGGGATGTGAATGTTTCTGTATAGTTGGCCCCACCTTCTAGTTTTCTTGGAATTTACTTCAGCTAGAGAAAATAGCCAATGTTTTTATGGACTACATTAAGAGGAGAAAACCTTCCAGGAATAGAGAAGTGAGAGCCCTACTGTATGCAGACCACCAGAAATCATCTGGAATATTTTACTTAGTTCTGGGCCCCCTGGATTAAAAAAGATACTGATAAGCCAGTAAGTGTCTGTCGAAGGGCTTAGAATTTATGACACCTGAGGACTGGTTGAAAGAGCTGGGCATATTTAACTTAGAAAAGAAAAGATCTAGAGGGGTGGGCATGATTGACATTTTCCAATATTTGAAAGGATATCATGTGGAGGAAGGAATAGTCTTGTTCCACTTGACTTCAGAGAGCCAGAAGGTGCAATAGATGGATGTTGAAAAGAGGTAAATTTAGCTTGATGTCAGGAAAACCTTCTTAATAATTAGATCTGTCCAAAAGTTGGTTGTCTTGATAAGTAGTGGCTGGGGAGATTTCCAGTCAGAGGCTGGCTGACTACTTATCAAGTATTTCACAGTGGGAATTGATTTCCAACTCTCAAGGTCCCTCCCAACTCTCAAATTCTGTCATTTTGAGAGCCCCCAACCAGACAATCTTCATTTTTCTTAGTGGAAATGATTGCATCTGAGTGTTGGTAGATAAGTATTCTTTCTCTCACCTTATTAAAATGGTCTTCAAAATTAGCTCTAGCCCAATAGCCTGAGAGGAACAGCAGAGGAATACATAGCACTTTATGTGATTCTTAAAAACCTTAGTGCATTTGCAATAAAAAAGTCATGATTCTCTGACTTTACTGTCATATCTTGATTTCTGTCCATTTTAGACTTAAGAGAAGAATCAGGGGGGCATTATCCTCAGCACAGTGATGCCTGGCCTGACTTAGAGATGTTTAAGAAGATGCCTTTTGACTACATTATTCATGATCCCAAGTATGATGATGCCAGTATGATTTGTGCACGCCACCAGAATGTAAAGAGTGAAGGTAAGACTTTGAAAACTCATTTCTTCCAATGTGTTACTTCCCAAAGAGTGGAGATTTTTATCCTCTTGTCTTTAATTGTGGAGTGGAATTTCATTAGCCAGCAATGCCTGATGCATTGAGAAATCATACCTAGTGTATCTCTTCAGCTTTGCTAGTATCTGCTGGTTAGTTCTGTGTCCTTCTGTGACTATAAATAGAAAGGGGAAGGAATGAACCATTGTGGTAATTATTTTGAAGGTTCATAGCATCAGAGTTTTATAGTTAGAGGAGACCTTATAGATTGTCTAGTCCTACCCCCCATTTTATAGAAGGGGAAACTGAGGCTCTGAGAGGAGAAGTGACTTGCCCAAAAAGTAGCAGAACTGGGATTTCAACCCAGATACTCTGATTCCAAACCCAGTGTTATTTTCACTGCATCATGAGATGAGCAGAAGCTCAGAAATTTTTGAATAATGGTAGTGAAATGCTTGGCTATCCAACATGATGAGGGACTAGTGTATTTGGGTTAATCCAGTATTTTGGTTAATAGAAACTCCTGTTAACTATGAAGTATTTGGAAAATTTCTTTTATTTCATTTACTTAAGAATTAGGCAAATGAAGTACAATTTTTTAAAGATTGCAGTGCCACAGGGTCATTATTATTTGTTGTTGTTCAGTTGTGTCCAACCCTTTGAGACCGTATTTTGGGTTTTCTTGGCAAAGATACTGGAGTGGTTTGCCATTTCTCCAGCTCACTTTATAGATGAGGAAACTGAGGCAAACAAGGTCAAGTGACTTGCCCAGGATCATATAGCTAGTAAGTATCTGAGACCAGATTTTAGCTCCAGTCTTCCTGACTCCAGGGCTGTGCTCTATCCACTGCACTAGTCACTTTTAAAGGCCTCATTATTGTGTTGCATGGGTAGAGAAGTTGCCATATAATGGAGTTTTCGTGTTTTTATAATAATAGCATCCTTGTAATGTCAATCAGTCTACCCTGATGACGCAGTGAATAGTGTTGACTTTAGGATCAGAGGACTTGTCCTTTCTCAGCTGCTCATTTCCAGTGTGGCCTTAGGCAAATCTCCCAACCTTCTGAGGCCTCAGAATACTCTTCTGCAAAAAAAAGGGGGACTGAACCAGATAACCACTAAGATTTCTTCTAGCTCCGCATCTCTGATCCACATTTCCCACCAACAATTTTCTCTTTATCACTGCCAGGAAGAATTTTTCTTTAAAGTTGTTGAATCTTTACTCCCTAAGGGGTGAAGCCACCGAGTGTCAGTGATTAGAGCTGTTCATCCAGGCCTAAAGGAAAAAAAACCCTTTTGGGTATGAATGTCCTGAGTTAAAAGAGTATTCATTCAAAAATATAACTCACATGGTTCGCATTGCTGTAAGATCCACACAGCAACTCTGTGAGACAAGGTAGCATGAGTGTTGCTGTTACATTGTATAGATGAAAAAACTGAGGCTTACAGTAGTGAAGTAATTTGCACTCGTGTGAGGTCAAGCCAGAATTTACTATTTCAGTGAATCCTGTGATGGGCAGGATTTGTCAAAAAGTTCATAGCAGCAGGCCAGGGCTATCTACCTACCAGGTAAGGATGAAGAAGGTCTCAGAAAATATTAACAAGGTGCTTTTAAAGTGACTGTCTTGCATAATACCTCTGCTGAAAGCAGTGTTCTTCCTGCTAATCTTGTCCTTTTCTTACCACACTGTTTCAATATCATTGTATATCTAATTAAAAACCACCAAATCTTAAATTGAGATGTAATGTTAGTTTTCATCCAGGGCAAATATAAAAAAAGAAAAAATATAAACAAACAACACTTAAGTTATCACAAATTAAGGACTAAATTGGTGATTTCTTTTCATTCATTCATTCATTCATTCATTCATTCATTCATTCATTCTGGGATTTCTTTGTATTGGCCCAGTAGCATATTGGTACAGCATCTTCAAAGTGAACCATTCAGAAGACTGAACAGATCCTGAAGTGTGTGATTAGAGAACATTTTAAAATCATAGTGGAAGGATATATTTGATTCTGTCATATAAATAGCTTCCATTTATTGATTAATAAGGTTACATGCCCATGTCACCGAAAACCATCTCTTGACTAAATGAACTTTGAATTGATTAACTTAGAAAACAACAAAAAACCCCTCTTTAACCAGTTTTCACCCAGTAGCCCTCAGGGAGATAAGCACTTGGGGAGAGAATGTGTGTGTTCTATGACCTACTCCAGCCTAACAACACTAAGGGATTTTGTATAGACAAATCAGCAACCAGGAAACATGAGGATTTGTACGTGCGACGCCAAACAACCCGAATGAGATTGTCCAAATATGCAGCCTATAACACCTACCACCACTGTGAGCAGTGCCATCAGTACCTGGGCTTTAATCCACGCTACCAGGTAGGTCATCTTTGATTTGCCCAAGGTCACAAAGGAGTGATAGATGACAGAGGCTGGGATTTGAATTCAGATCCTCTGACTCCAAATGCCACTATGCCTTTGCCACTATATCATAGCTTATATTTTATTAAAATTATGCATGTGTCTGTTTCCCGGACTACTTGTCATCTTTGTCAACCTTCAGTAAATTTTTGGTTCTGATTTTTGTTGTTGTTCAGACATTTCAGTTGTGTCTGACTCTTTGTGACCCCATCTGGGATTTTCTTGGTAAAGATAGTGGAGTAGTTTGCCATTTCCTTCTCTAGCTCATTTTATAGATGAGAAAACTGAAGCAAACAGGGTTAAGTGACTTGCCCAGGGTCACACAACTAGTAAGTGTCTGAGGCTGGATTTGAATGCAGGTCTTCCTGACTCCAGGCCTGGTATTCTATCCACTGTACCAACTAGCTGCCCTTTTGATTCTGATACCACATCTAATAAGGAATAGTAACTAACTCAAAATTATCCCTCCCCAAAGTTTAATGATATCTAGTTCTTCTAGCTTCTAGACTTCCTAATTTTTAATCAATTCTTCCTTCAAGTAGGTCCTTGTTACTTACAGTGGAAGGATTGTTTTAAGCTCTGCTTCTTAATTTGTGAGATTGAAAAGTAAAGGATTTGCAGTAATTCCTAGGTTTGTAAGATTTAGAGCTGGAAGGGATCTTAGAGCCCAACTAGTTTAATTCCTTCTTTCCCCTGCAAATTTTTAGAGTCAAGGAAACTGAAGCCCAAGATCACATAGGTGGTAGCTGGGGATTCATAACTTCTAATGCCAAATGCATGTTCACTTTAATGTATCCCACTTGGTAGACAATTGGAATCTGGTATTTTTTATTTAGGATTTCCTTTCCTTTTCATTAAATCCTAGCCCAAGAAAGATATGGAAGAGAAAGATGGAAATGGATGGAGAGGGTCAGAAAGGCATTTGGTCAAGGATAGGTCTTCCTTGCTTTTCATTTTAATCAATATCAAACAGCAGACTGCACTTTTAATTTAATTTTTTGTCCCTGGCATGGAAACATTGCATTTAGTTTTCTCAGCTGGTGATGGGATTTCTGTTTTGAGGCAGAAAGAAAAAATGCATAGCGCATGCACTAAAATTGTTTTTCTTCATTTCCTGCTCAAAGGCTATGTATTATTCAGCGGGAGAATTACATGATATGGAGTAATATAGTGCTATGTAGCACTTTATTACTATACAAATAAGTATAGTAATCATTCTTAGAACAGAGATTTTTTCCCCCTTCTCACAAAAGACATTTTCTAACCCATCACAGGGCAGCTAGGAGGTGCCATGGATAGAGTTTTGTGCCTGGAGTCAGGAAGACTTATCTTCCCGAGTTCAAATCTAGCCTTAGATACTTACTAGCTATGTGACCCTGGGAAGGTCACTTAACTCTGTTTGCCTCAGTTTCCTCATCTGTAAAATAATCTGAGAAGGAAATAGCAAACCACTCCAGTATCTTTGCCAAGAAAACCCCAAACAGAGTCACAAAGAATTGGACATGACTAAATACACAAGATACTAAACTTTAATATGTACTAACAAAGGGTACCTTTTGGTGTTCCTGCTCAAAGTATCACAGCCATAGTCAGCCAAAGGGATGTGAGGGTTGCTATTATTAATTGCAAAAATTCACCCTGATATTTCCCAGCCTCTGTGCTGCTTTTTACAGTGTCTCCCAGGAAATCTACCTGGGGGGTGGGGTTAGGTTTTACAAGAAGATTTGAACTTGGGATTCTTAGAATTAGTTTTATCTAATTCACTGTCCAATCTTGGAAATAATCAAGACTATTCTTGTGGCTTGTCCCTCGCAGACCTTATCTTTCAATTGGGGAAAGCTACCAGATATGAGTAGAGAAACTGGTAAGAGCAGTTTAAAAGATGAACATTTTGTTGATAAAGAAAAGAATTGTTTTTTAAAATTATCTTTGTATATTTGTAAGTGACAGCCTGGAAGAGTTGATAAAGACCTGGCCTTGGAGTTCAATCTCACGGTTATAAGATTTTGGCTTCAGTGCCAGAATGGAAACTAGAGTTCCTTTAGTTTATCCCCTTCACAAGTGAGGTGTGGAGAAGTTGTGACTTCCTGAAGGTCACACAGGTAATAAGTGCTAGACTTCCAAACACATGTGACCTGGATTCACATTCAGCCTCTGATAATTATTTAATAGCTGCTTGACAAATCAATTTTCCTTTGTCCATCCCAATCCACTCCTATCCACTAAATCATAGAAGGGTTGTTGGTGGAGGGAGTTCCCATGCCAAGAGCTCCCCAGAATTCTGAAATCACAGATCCTTCTTGTATTCTCAGATGTATATTCATAGGGATTATGTCTAGACAGTGAAATGTCATGCATTATCATAGGACCAGAATGGTCATAAGGACCAGAAAAGGTCCTTAGAGATAGTCTAGTCATAAATCCATAGGAACATAGATTTAGAAGTGGAAGAGAGCTCCGAGGCTATCTAGTCCAACCTCTTCATTTTATAGATGAAGAAATTAAGGCCCATGGAGATTAAATTACTTGAACAAGGTCATACATGCAGTAAATGTCAGAGGTGAGGTTTAAATGCAGGCCCTCTGACTCCAGAGCCAGTGTTCTCTCCATTATACCATGCTGTATTTTTCCCCTTTCATTTTATAGATGAGGAAATTGAGGGCCAAGGAGGTTAGATAATTTGGCTGAGGTTGAATAAGTAGGAAATCTGAGCTCAAAATCAGGTTCTTTGATTCCAGATCTAGTGTACTTTCTATCTCTCCCTCACTGCATCACACCTGCCGTCTGGTACAGTGTTATTTTATAGCCATCAATGAGAAGCTGTATCATTAGTAATTTTTTAGATTTTTTTGAATTACTGAAGAGTCATGGAACTTAGAGCTAGAAGAAGCCTCCCTCACCTTGTGCTGCTGAGGAAATTTGTTCCTGAATTGACTTGACAATGGGCACACAGGTAGGGCACACTTAGATCCTCTGATTCCAAATGCGATCCTCTTTCCCCTCCACCATGATTTCACTATGATTTTGTGTTTCTCTGAACTCTGTTAATGCTCCAGAAGTGACATTTCACTCTAAGGGACCTTAGAGAAAGATGATTTAGTTCCACTGCCTTATGTTACAAATGATGAAACAGAGGCAGGGAAAGGCAAAGTAGTTTGGCCAAATTTTTCATTATATTACCAGGGCTTAAAAATGTATACACACATATACATAAATACATATATACATATACATGTATACACACACATACACACAAACGCATGCTTAGAACTTGGTCAGGCATTGAAGATGCAAAGGTCATCCGCTGCATCCTCGACCATTGCCAGTTATCTTGACTTTTGTCTTGCCACTGGACTTTGATGACTCTGGAAGAGAAGGTGAGGCTGATGACTTTGTGCAACTCTTCCTCACTTAAATTCTATTCATGCATGAATTGAGACATTATTCTGTGATGTCATTTGTCCTCTTTGAAACAAAGGATGAACAGCAACATACACACTATACACATGTTTGTACAATTATGTAGGAATTTTCAGAGAAAGAAGAAAATAACATTGAAAGCTTCTATGTAATAGATAAGTAAATCAAACAGAAATCCCAACAATGGCTCTATTCTTTGGTTTTGACTTAGAGGAGGGAGAAGAGAATAGTGAATAGTGGCCCTCAGTGCCCAAACTTCCATTATATTTTCTCCAATTTATCATGTACATCCTCTTAAAATTTGTTCACTCAACAATTATTCATTAAGTGCCTACTTTATGTACAGCACTGTGCTAGATGATGGGGGAGATGGACTATGTAGGTTAAGACCTAGTTCTTGCCTCTAGGGAACTTATTGTCGGGTAGTGGCAAAATCTTAATATTAAATCATCGATGATTATTTTTTAGCTCATCTTTCTTTTTTTTTTTTTAAAAAAGAATTCAACATTAAATGTCCTTGATTTCATCCATAAGTTTTTTTAAATCAATGTATGCATTTTTCATCTGAATTGGCTAGTAGGAATTTATAGTAGTTTATGAGGCAAAGAAAGGCACAAAGGTATTTTTTTTTTGAAAAACATAATTGAACACTTCAAGAATTACATTGATGTGAATCTTCTTTCCTCTGACAGATCACAACTAATTGCACACCTTGAACTGATGGTTATGTGAGTTGCTTTGGTCAACAATTTCATATTTGCAGATGACACATCTCCAGGCTTGTACCCAGGCCTTTTTAGCTTGTGTTCTGCTGGCATAGACTTCACGATCCCAGACAAGGCACTGAAGAAGGAAATTGGTGGAATGTAACAAAAAAGGAGTCAGGCTAAAATTTCAGCAAGAGAATTCATAAATCATAGATTCACTGCTGGATAGAACTTCAGAGGGTGTTGAGTCCAATCCTCCTCAATTATGCCCTATTTCTGATACATAGATCCTGGTTGTGTGTACCCAGCAACTCTCTAAGATAGAGAAGATGCATTTACATTTGTAGATGGCATTTCTTCACCCAGAACTCTTAATACCAGTGAAATCACAGGTCCAGTCAAAAAACGAAAATGGGAATTCATAGAATCATTGATTCTTAGAGGTGAAAGACGCATTAAGAGGTCCTCTAGTCTAAGCCCTGGTGGAAGCATGAATCGGCTCTACAGTATTCTAAACAAATTGTCTTTTGATCTCTTTTAGACCACTTCTAGTGATGACAAACATACTACCTGCCATGGAAGGCCAGTTTTGGATAGCTCTAATTTTTCAGAAGTTCTTCCTTCTATTGAGCTAACTCTATATCTCTGGCACTGCCACCCATTAACCTTGGTTCTGTTATCTTGTGCCAAGTAGAATAAAATTATTCCCTTTTCCATGTGGTAGTGTTTTCAACATTTGAAGTTAACTTCCCCTGCCAAGTCTTTTATTTCTCAGTTTACACCTTCCAAGTTTCAATGTATCCTTTTATGACACAATTCCCAGTAGCTGCACCATCCTTACAACTCTCTTATACTCAAACTCCTAAAGCTCACTGTGTAGAAATGAACAGAATACTCTATGTGTGGTCTGACCAGGTTAAAGCAGAATGAGAGTATTGTCTCCTTTGCTCTCGATACTGGTTATGTTCAGTTGCCCATAAGCAAATATTTCTTTCCTATAAAGGCCTCTTCTAAGGTCCTTCTTTGATATCTCCTTATGACATGGAAGTGATTTTAATTCTTGAAAGCTAGAAAGGATACAAGTAGAAACCAGGTAACAGATTGTGTGATTGTCATCTAAGGAGCAGCCTAGCTAACTAAGGTCTAAGATGTTCTTCACTTGATTATTTGCAAGGTGATGAAATAGGGGACCAGCGCAAATGTTAAGCATATGTACTAAGTTGCTAAGATGTTGTGATTTGTGTTAGTAAAAGGAAAATGCACATTTGTGAAATTATCATTCCTTGAAGCATTAAGGAAAGGGTAGTTAAATACTTATAATAAACTATTACAAGCTAGAGTCTCCAGTTGGTGCATAAATACAATAGACAACATTCTGTCTTGTTGGTTTAGGTGTGGAGATTCATGGAGACATGGGGCTGGATGTAGTCCTCGAGGTCAGTGCCTGTGTCATAAAGATCTTTTGGTTCTCCACATCCAGCATCATGCTCATGGCAGAGGCTTAATAAATATTTATTGATTGAGGTCCCTCCATGCTTTTGCATATTATTTAGTAAATAATATCATTTTGCTTTATAATGAATCCCTTTTCCATTAAAATGTATCTTCCAATATGAAGTTTATAAAATAAATTCAACATTGCTAAATCTGCAAACACAGATGGGAGATAGTCCTGACCCATGTCTGGAAGGGATGGGAGACTTCTTGATTTCAATAGAGAAAATATATTACCATTAAAGTTGTCTTTTGCTAGATATATGTAATAGGGTAAGTTGATGTTGACATGGTGACTAGAAGATGGAGTGTCTGTATGTTGCACTGATCATCTGGTAGTTTTGTCCATAGGTTATCTTGGTATGAATATCATGATAATCACAGATAGTGATGGCCACATATGGATCTGTGTTCTGTTGATAAGTAAGGTTGGGTTCTGATGATGAGACCTGTCCTTTCCCCCCCTTACACCCCAGCTGTATGAGTCCACCCTGCACGCCTTTGCCTTCTCTTACTCCATGCTAGGAGAGGAAATCCAGCTTCATTTTATCATTCCTAAATCAAAGGAGCACCATTTTGTCTTCAGCCAACCAGGAGGCCAGCTGGAAAGCATGAGGTTACCACTCGTCACTGATAAGGTAAGTGGATGTTCTGATATGTAGTTATATAAGGTAGAGACCAACTCTGCCCTCTGGACTTGTGACAGAATGGATTTTATTGTCTAACAAGAAAAGAATCTTAGGTCAAGGGAACATGGCCCAAGGTATGCTTTGAAGCAGGGAGGATTAGGGTGGAAATAATGAGATGGAGGTAATTGGTTTTAAGGGAGGAGGAGGACTGCATACCTCATACTCAGTTTAATTGAACCAGCATCGAACATTTACTATATACAGGGCAGTGTGAGTGATACAAACATCAGTTGAGGTGTAGCCCCTGCCATCAAGCCGAATAGAAGTAAAAGAGCCACAAAGCTACCCAAGAGAGGACTCTAACATTTTTCAATGATAGTTTTTGAAAAGTTATTTACTTCCTCTGATGCTTCTCCATAGCACCCAGGTAACACTGTATGCTTAAAGCTAGGCCAGCAGAGCCCAAGATCCTACTAAGCTGGAAAATCTTCAGATGGGGAGGCTAGGTAGTGTGTTGCTAGACCTGGAATCAGAACGACCTGAATTTAAATCTGTCCTCAAACAGATTTGAAGGATCTAGCTGTGTGACCCTGGGCATAGTCATTTAACCTCTGTCTGCCTCAGTTTCCTCATTGGGAAAATGAGGATAATAACACCATCCACCTCCCAGGGTTATTGTAAGGCTCCAGTGAGACAACACATGTGAAGCACTTAGCAAACCTTAAAAATTCTGTGTCAACTGTTAAATGTCAGTCTGGTCTCTGGTTATGGTCGACAGTGTAAAAACCAACTTAGCCCTTTCAGAGAATCTCATTATCAGAAGGTTGACTACCAGGTGAAGCATTCCCCCTCTTCCCCTTTGGCCATAGTCACTCATTAAAACCATCTAGTCTGGTGCAGAGTATCTGGGATCTGAATTAGTGCAAAGAGAATGAAGTCTTGTACCAATGAAATCTTGTACCCCTTGAAGCATTGGAGTAAATACTGTCACACATCTCAGAAAAAAGAGCCTTATTTGTTCCCTTCTCTGTTTGCTGTGTTATTCTTTATCTTTGTATGCCCAGTGCCTGGAATGTAGAAAGTACCTCATAAATGTGTATTGATTGGATATTTTTTTATTTCCCTTTTATTTTACATTGTCCTTCCCTAATATTTTTTGGAGGTTTTCTCATGACAGGGGAGGGTGATAGAGAATTCTTGAAAAGCTATGTTAGAGAGTAGATCTCCCAAGCCGAAAAAAGGTTTGTCTATGTGTGTGTCCCCTAACACCAGCCTAGCTAAGTTCAAGATGGACTCATCCCTAGAAAGCTGCTGATTTCTTTTTCTATTAGCAACTCATGAAATGTCTACTAAGGCAGGGAGGAGTTGTGATTAGCATCTGTGGAGGGAAACAATCAACAAGATGAAAGTTCAGGGCTTTGATGAATTTAACTATATTCTTGTGGATATTTTGAGGTTTGGCCATCAGACCCGGTTCCCTAACCCTTTATCAGTCTTTTAAATCAGTATTATGATGTTTGCTACTTGTAGAGTTGGTCAGCTCCTTGGTTTCTTTAGAAAGTAGCTTGTAACATTCCATCGGGGAAGTCACAAGAGAAGCCTCCTTATGACCATCAACATTATTGTAGATGCAGCTTTTGTTAAGCATTTTTTAGGAATCATGTGGGCCAAGTACTGAAAGGCAAAACAGTCTCTGATTTTAAGATACTTATATTCTAATTGGAGAAGACAGTATATATAGCAATGAGTGAGTAGGATATGCATTCTTAAGAAGAGAATACTAATGAAGAGTGAAATAAGTAGAACCTAGTGAGTGTTGTATAAAGTAACAGCAATATAGCTTTAAGAATGACTTTGAGTGAATAAGTAATTTGATTTTTTATAAATACCCAAATTAACTACAAAGGACATATGAAGGAAGACACTATCTGCATCCAGAGAAAGAACTGATAAATAGAAATATGTATAAAATGATTTTACATAACACACACACACACACACACACATATTTGTTTCTAATTGTAGCCATCTCTGGGGGGGGGAGAAAGAAGGGAAAAAAAGATAATTACATGATAATTTTATTATATGTTTAAATGGAATAGCAAGTTGTACATAATAAATTTTCAGTTTCATATGCAATCTTTTTTTAAATCATACTATGTTATGGAAATGCTTGTTTTATCCCATAAATTAAACATAAAATAAATTTTAAAAAATTTAAAAAGAAAATACTAGCAGCAATCACTGAGATTCTCTGTAACATTGTTTACTATGTGGTATAAATTCACTCCATCTTGGTCCTAATCTTATTACCTATGTGATTTTGGGCAAGTCACTTTGGCTCTCTGAGTCTCAGTTTTTTCATCCTTAAAATAAGAGAGCTGAGCGAAACAACCTCTAAGGTTTTTGCTAACCGTCACTGAGTGAGCTTGTGGTCCAGTTTGCCACGTGCCTTCTTGGCTATTCACCTCACAAATCCCAATGGTAACCTCTCCATCCTTGAAACTCCTCAGTCTTATCTGTATCACACATTGGTACAGATATATACTACTGTATGATAATTCTTGCATTTATTTTCTTGAATTGTTATTTAACTATTGTATCATGCATCACGACGAGAAAGGCAACATGGAACAGTGGCTGTTAATGGACATTAGAGTCAGGGCAACTTGGATTCAAGCCCCACTTTTTTTTTTCTTTTTGGTTAGGCAATGGGGTTAAGTGACTTGCCCAGGGTCACACAACCAGTAAGTGTTATGTGTCTGAAGTTGGATTTGAATTCAGGTCCTCCTGACTCCAGGCCTGGTGCTCTATCCACTGTGCCACCTAGCTGCCCCCAAGCCCCACTTTTGATGTATACTAACTGTGTGACCCTGGTAAGGTCACTTAACTTCTCAGCTCCCCAGGCTCCTATCTGTCTACTGGGTACTTTCTACTTCATTGGTAGAGAAAGTTTCCTCATAGGAAAGCTCCCTACATAATCATGAACCTGGACTCCACATTGCGTAACTTATGTTTTGTTTATCTTCCTTTATTGGAAGCACCTTGAGGCCAGGGGCCACAGCTTATCCTTCATCACCCTCAGTTCGAACTACAGCCACATTTGTATAGTAGGTGCAAAAGAGACATTTGTGAATTGATTTACTGAAGTGTCCAAGAGGAATTCTTTGTGATGTATTGAAAAAACACTGGATTTAAAATTTAATGTTATGCCTTGTACATTGTAAATGCTTATTGTCTTATTGATTTTAAAGTCAAACCCTGGGCTTGAATCTCAAGTCTGACATTTATTACTGATGTGATATTAGGCAAATTACTTAACTTCTCTGGGCCTCAGTTTTCTCATCTGTAAAATGAGGTAGTTGGATTAAATAAACTGTTAAGATTCTTTCTACCTCCACATCCTGTGATCCTCTGTTCTACAGTTCTGCTTGCTTGTTTTTTAGTTGTTTTAAACTTTGGACAGTTAAGAGTGTAGTTTCCTTTGAAAAGATAAAGCTCGAAGTTTCTGTAACCTATACATTAACTCATACTACCCTCCCCTTATCCTCCATCTGATGCTTTATACTGACCATTCAGTAGAGTAAATTGGTTATTTCTTGATCAATTCCACCCAGATTGGACCATGGACCAGTTGGTTCTTACCTTGCTTTGAGGTAGAATTTTTAGGTAAGCAGGCATCCTTCAGTAGGGTGCTTGTCTTCTGGATGTTTTGGTTAATTATTAGCCAAGTTACTGAAGTAAACAAACAAAAAAAGCACTTGTGTATAAATGGGCTTTGTAGCATAGAACTCAAGATGTTTTTTGAGAATTCATAGTATTTGTGGTATTTACATAAGAAATGAGCATTCATTCATTCAAAATGTGTTTATCAATACCCAGTACATAGCACTACAGCAGGTACTATATGGAATAAGAAAGAAATAGAAGACAAATTCCTACACTTACAGACCTTCCAGTCTAGCTGGAGATACAAGATATAAATGAAAGTGGGAAAAAGTACATACAGGAAGGAAACTTAGCAGTCATCTCATCCAACCTCATTTTGTAGCTGCAGAAACTGAGATCTAGAGATTTTGTGTGACTTATCCAAGGTCTCACAACTAGTTAGAAGCACAGATGGGACTAGAATCCATAACTCTCACCCTCTTGTTCAGTGCTCTTTCAGTATGCCATATTGTCTTGGACACATAATGAATGAAAATGTTTATACGTATTGAATATGTATTCAAGAGAGTGAGGAGGTATAACATACATCTGTGAGATTCCAAGTCAAATGGGACCAGTTAGTGCTTAGGACATGTTAAGCTTGTATTTTAGGTTTGAATTATCTGGTAAAAGTCATTCCTGTACTTTACAGAGCCATGAATTTATAAAAAGTCCTACTTTTACTCCAACCACGGGTCGTCATGAACATGGACTCTTCAATTTATATCATGCAATGGATGGTGCTAATCATTTGCATGTATTAGTTGTCAAAGAATACGAAATGGCAATATATAAGAAGTATTGGCCCAACCACATTATGCTGGTTCTCCCAAGTATCTTCAACAGTGCTGGAGTTGGTAAGTAAAAAGAGAGTAATGTTTTATGTGCAATAAAATTCCATAGAAAGAAGAGGGAGACTTAAAAGAGTAGTGTCAGGAGAGAATAGTTGCAAGTTTCGTACCAAGCCATTTACTCTTGGCTTTTGGAACTCTTATCTCCATTCCCTAGCTCTTTGTTTCTTTATGGGCATTCCAAGCTTTGTTGTTGGTTTAACTGATAATGATAATAGTAATAATAATTGATGGCTATAAGTAACAACCAATGTTTATTTTATTTTTTTATTTTTTATTTTTTTTATTTTTGGTGAGGCAATTGGGGTTAAGTGACTTGCCCAGAGTCACGCAGCTGGTAAGTGTTATGTATCTGAGGCCTCATTTGAACTCGGGTCCTCTTGATCTCCAGGGCCGGTACTCTATCCACTGTGCCACCTAGCTGCCCAAACAAACATTTAAAGACCTGTATATGTGTGTGTATATATGTATGTGTATATGTAGAGAGGCAGCTAGGTGATGCAGTGTATAGAGCACTAGCCTGGAGTCAGGAAGATCTGAGTTCAAATCCAGCTTCAGACATTTACTAGCAGTAAATGACCCTGAGCAAGCAATCCTGTTTGCCTCAGTTTCCTCATCTGTAAAGTCATCTAGAGAAGGAAATGGCAAACTGTTCCAGCATCTTTGCCAAGAAAACCCCAAATGGAATCACTGAGAGTCAAACACAATTGAAACAACAAATAGACACACACATACACATATGTATGTATATATGTGTGTGTATATATGTGAGTGTGTGTATATATGCGTATATATATATATACCATATATATATGCACATACATACACACATATATAATACACATTTAAAGAACTAGCATTCCTTAAGGATTGCAAAACACTTTTCTTACAACAGCTCTTTAAAGAAGACTGTACAAGTGTTATCTCTATTTTACAAATGAGAAAAATGAGGGTAAGAGTGTTAAGTGACTTCCCTAAGCTCACTTAGCTAGTAAGTGATGTCTCAAGCTTGTTAGCTGTCAGCTGAGACAGAAGGAAATCAGAGCAGAGTCAGAAACTTTTGCCACCAACTATCTTATAAAATTCTAGAATCAAAGTCACAGAACCTCAAAAGAAGCATCAGCAACTGTCTAATCAAGCCATCTTTGAAAGGAATCCCCCTTATAATGTATCTAACATATCATCTTTCAGCCTCTGCTTGAATACCTCCAATGAGAACTCACCACCTCCTGAGCCAACTCATTCTACTTCTGGCTAGCTCTAGTTGATAGGAAGATTTTCTTGATATCTAACTGAAATTTACCCCTGGATACCTTCAGTGTTGGAAAAGACATCAAAAACTATCTAGTTTAACCCACATGCAAGCAAAAATTCCATCTAAGATATCTTAAACACTTAGTCCCCTTGTCTTTGCTTGAAGGCTTCTGGTGAAGGGGAAGTCACTATGTAGCAGCCCATTTTTGGTTTGCTCTGTTAGAGTTTTTTTTAAAATTGCATTTGCCTCTCCCAAGGAAATAACAGATTAATTAAGAAGTACCTGTATAGAGGCAGCTAGGTGGTGCAGTGGATAGATCAACTGGCCCTGGAGTCAGGAAGACCTGTGTTCAAATGTGACCTCAGACACTTACTAGCTGTGGGACCCTAGGCAAGTCACTTAACCCCGATTGCCTTCCCTGATCCTCTCAAAGAAGAATTAGATGTACATGTGGGAGAATGGTATGGTATAGGAGAACTTGGAGTAGGGTTTTTTTTTTTTCCCATGAGAAGGGTCTTCAGATCAGAGGAAGCACTGGGAGGTGATTAACATATGTAAAAATATGTAAACGATGATGTATATATAACTGATGTGAATTGTAAATCTTGTGAATTTTGATTTTAGGTGCTGCCCATTTCCTAATAAAGGAGCTATCCTACCATAACTTGGAACTGGAACGGAACAGGCAAGAGGAGTTGGGCATAAAACCTCAAGATATCTGGCCTTTCATTGTCATTGCAGATGACTCTTGCGTTATGTGGAATATGGTGGATGTTGATAGTGGGGGAGAAAGGCGGAGGTAAAAAATAGTCAGCACCATTTATAGTTACTCTTCCATAATGGATCTTGTTTTTAAAGTACAAATTTATGGAAATTAATTTTTATTCGTTTTCTGGAAAAATTCTTATCTATACTTTGAAGAAGGTAAATGCTTTTTTGCTTTTGAAAATTCCCTTCTTATAATATTAAGATGTTAGTGTCTTAAAGCATGATCTCTGCATTAATTTCTGATATACAGTCCCTGGTAGAAAATAGATCTTAAACTCTTTATGTAGTCTTAATTCATACAGTTAAGCTCCTTTGGCAGTGAATACTATTAAAAAGAATAGTTCTAACTAACAAAATTTTCCATGTTCCTGTTGATTGATCTCTCCCAAAATAATACTTTTCAAACTTGGTTTCAATTAGCTTTGACATTGTCAGTCTTCAAAGCATAATTAATATTTCAGCAACTTGAAGGTGTACAAAGTATTTAAAAATAGGATATAAACAGTGCTATTATTATTATTCCCATTTTACAGATGAGGAAACCTGATACTCAAAGATCTCACATGGTTGGCAAAGGTCACATAGCTAGTAAGTGTCAGAGCAAGGATTCAGATCTGTTTTTCTGGTTCCAAGTTCAATATTCTTTCCACTACAACTTGACTTAATGATGGTTTGCTGTTTATGTTAGGGAGAAGACAGCTAAGCTTTTGTCTAGCCATCAGGTGTGAATTTCAATAACAGACCCTCTCACGAGGCAGCATGGTATAATCAATAGAAAGTCTAGCCTTGGAATGAGGGAGACATGAGTTCAAGTCCCATTTTGACACATAGTGGCTAAAGGACACTAAGCAGGTCACAACTACTCTGCATTCTAGCCAGCTCCCTAAGAGTGGTAGAGAAGGTGCCAGCCTACATTGGTAGAGTTTCTCTTCTGAGAATTTCCTAAACCTACAAAATCACAGTCTGTAGTCCCTATTCCTATTGTAGAGCTAGAAGGGAATGTAAAGATCACAGGGTCTAAACTTCCTATTTGATTGATGAGAGAAACAGAGGCCCAGAGACTGGACATAGTTTATGCAAGGTCACAGGAATGGTGAATGGCAGAGCCTAGACTGGAAGCTGTCTCCACCTTCTGGTCCAGTTGCTTTACCCATTATGGAGTCAGTTTGGTATGGGTCAGGAACACTGAGTTTAGAGTCGGAAGACCTGAGTTTGAAATTCAGCTCTCCTGGTATGAGCTTTATAACTTTGGGCAAGTCCCTCCACCCTACTGAGTCTCAGTTTCCTCACAGGCACATACTGCTCATTTCGCAAAGGTGCTGGAAGGAAAGCCCTTGGTAAGCCCTAAAGAACCACAGAAGTTTAAGCAATTATTATCAGACCAAGATACCTCCATTTCTTTACTATATTTTAACCTCACCCAAAATTTCAAACCAGTCAAACTGAACTGCTTTCTGCTCCCCATATGGATCCTAAGCATTTTAGTAAAGTTTCATGACTATAAAAAAATGAAAGTCCTTTGGAATATGTCATAATCAGATTTGATCTGGGTTTGTTTAAAGTGGGACATCTTTAGCCTCCTGGGCTATTTTGGTCCAGTGCTGATGTAGACAATAGAATAAAAAGGATTATACTTTTGTTTGAGTGTTGATCCAGAGAAAGTTTTTTCTTTTTTTCTTCCTCATAGTGATTACACCTGGTCTGAAAGGAATGTTTCTTTGAAACACATTCTGCAGCACATTGAGGCAGCCCCAAATGTCACTCATTATGCTCTAATTGGGATGCGGAAATGGTCGAGTAAAACTCGGAGTGGGGAAGTTCGAGAACCTTTCTCCCGTTGTCATGTCCATGACTTTATTATCCTCAATGTGGATCTGACACAGAATGTACAGTATAACCAGAATCGGTGAGTTACAGAATCAAGAGGAAGCCAGATATCAGCTTCAACCTTTCCTTGATAGTCATCTGATAGTCTGCTTTTCTCTTATTGGTACCTATCTGTTGATTCACTGATAATGGTACCAATGACCTGAGGCATGTGTGCTTGGCCTCAGGGGTGGAGGAATCCATAGGATTCTGAGCAGGAAGGTATTTTAGAGATGATCTGATCCAGTTCTCTTGATTTAGAGGTGAGGACACTAAGGCCAAAAGGTATGTGTAATGTGGCAGCTCTGGACTTTGAACCATGAACCAGGCTCTTCTAACACTGAATCCATTGCAGTTTGATTATATCTATCTCCTTTTTTCTTTCAATCTCCAGAATCAGTTTAACTTTGGAGATAGTATTATTTAATCCTATAAATCTGCTGTCAGATTAAAAACTGAAGAAGCAAAAACATTTACTAAGCACTCACTGTGTAAAAGGTATTGTTAAGCTTTGGGGACACTCTGGGATCACTCCAGTTCTCCAATCATTTTAATGGCTCCCTACTGCTTACCACATAAAGCCCAAACTTCTTAGGGATTTATTCAAACACTTCCACAAGGGCTTGTCTTCCTGCTTTTTCAGTTTCCACTATTTTCAGCCATGTACCCTATGCTACAGAGAAACTAAACTCAGAATTGTCCTTGGAATATGAGCCAGGTTTTCCCATCCCTGCACCTTTGCTGACACTATTTCTAATGCATGAAATACTGCCATCCTTCCCATCTCCGCCTTTTGACATGCAGCCTCTTCTTTGAGGCATTGTTGTAGTGAAAAGAGTGCTGAGCTTGGAGTCATAACACCTGGGTTTGAATCCTGACTTCGAGATTTACGAGCTGTGTAAGGCACTTCTCTCTTTAAGCTTTAGTTTACTCATTCATAAATTGAGATGGTTGAGCTAGATGCTCTCAAAGGTACCTTGTAGCCCTGAATCATACCATCTGGCTCCGGTGCCAGCTTCTCTTGGAGACCTTCCCACATTCCCTTCTCCACAATGATCCCTCCCCCCAATGATGGCTGTTGGGGTTGGACTGGAAGCAGGTCTGGTGGTCTAGGGAATACTGCTATTCCCAAGGCTCTTGGTTTCAGGGTCCTGGGCTGTCTCTGTCGAGGTCTGGGAGCAGATGATGGACAGTGTAGTTGTGATGGTTTGGCTTGGCATGTGCTGCCTTTCCTCTCTCTCCTTGAGAGTACCTTGCTGCTTTAGGTAGGCTGGCTCACCTAGGTGGCAGTTGCTGGGCATTGGCCACTTCTCCAAAGGAGTTGCCATACTGAATGATGGCTATGAGGGCTGGTATTTGCCGAGGGGTGGGGTGGGGGTGCTGCCATTTTCAGTAGGATCCTTGTAATTATCTGTCATTAAAATATGAGCCCCTTGGTGTCTTTTTTTATTCATATCTCTATAGATTTTTATATCCTATATACATCTTTTCATGGTGACTTCAATATTAATTGATTTCCTTCTTCTATGATCTCAGTACTACATGATTTAGCACTAAGACTACATTATTTTATTTGTTGATCTGTATTTATGATTTTAATGGTTTGGGGAACTCCATGTGGAAACTCCTTCCTGCTAAGAGACTTGCTTGGAGCATTAAGATATTAAGTCACTGACCCATAGTCCCACAGTTATTACATGATGGGGGCAGGACTTAAAACAAGACACACCATGGTGATGCCTCTCACTATAGTCTCATATTATTATTTGACTGTTTCATTTATACTAGTCTTTTCTCTTCAGCTTGTTAGTAGAGGGAATGATTTCCTGCCTCCAAGGAGCTTGCATTTCAGCATATATTACCTGTATGACAAGGTTGCCTAGCCCTTCATCACTGACTTTATCATCTGTCAAATAGTGTTAATAATATTTATAATACCTTCCTCATAGAATTATAGTGAGAAAAGCACTAAATAGGTCTTAAAATGGTATAAAAATATGAGTGGTTATGTCTTATTTCTCTCCCTGTACCTAGTATAGTGCTGAGCACATAATAGATTCCCTACAAATATCTATATACATGTACATATATATGGGCGTATTATATATGTGTACATATGTGTATATTTATAGTTCATTGATTGAATGCTGTTTAATTATAAATGTGCTGATTGAATTTTCTTCCTGTCTGATTAGATTCACCTGTGATGATGTCGACTTCAACCTGCGAGTGCACAGCGCTGGCCTCCTTTTGTGTCAATTTAATCGCTTCAGCGTCATGAAGAAGCAAATTGCTGTTGGTGGCCACAGGTCCTTCCACATCAAATCCAAGGTAAGTGAGGAAATGGCTGCTGTGTGGTTATTTCTATCTCTCTGAGTTGGTTGGGGTGCATTAGGAAGAGCCCTGTGCATGAGGTCTAGCTTAGCAACTTACTTCGTGTGTCATTTAAACTCTTGGAGTCTCACTGTCCTCATTTGTGATATGGTGATTATAATATGCACCCTGTCTGTCTCACAGGGCTGTTAGGATCAAACGGATGATGCAAGTGATGGCATTGGAATGAAACTAAGTTGTTATAGAAATGTAAATTATGTACATAGAAATATAATATAATATTATATATTATTACATAGAAACAGTAATGACTTTCCACTAAAGTCTCAGGTGCCTTCTTAGGTGCCTCACAATTGGGATGCAGGTGCCTTTTGGTTGTGGAACACTGTCCTGGCAGGGAACAGGCTTTGGCATATATTGCCACATTGGAGAGGCTTTGAGGATTTCAAAGGTGATGAACTTAAAGACATTTAATCTTTTGTCTGTAGGCAGCCTAGCTAAGCTCAGACAGAAACATTGCTAGAAGGCTGGCCACTAAGGAATGAATTGTTTTAGCCACAACAGTTGACCAAGACCTTTTACTAAGGCATAGAGTGTTTATGTTCTGCATCAATGGAAGGAGTCCTTACCAAAGATTTTATGAATCTCTCAAAACAACAACAACAACAACAACAACAATAATAATAGCAACAATGATGATAATAATAATGCACCCTGAGGCTTGCATAGCTGTTAACAATTGATAGCACTGGTCTTTACCTTCTTGTCAAATAGAAAGAAGAGTAGACTTCATCATTTAAATGTAGGTATGGTTTGATTTTGGTATCAGGTAAACTTAGTGTTCTGATGTACGCAATTATTCTAAGCCTTATGAGTTTAAAGTTTCCATTGGTTTCTGGAGAAAGATGCTTGGTCTATGGGTTTTCAAATATACCTTTGTGCATTATTCTCAGATGATAGGTGTGTCAGTCTGCAAAAGGACTCTAGTTGTGACAGTATTGATAGTGTGCAAAGAGTTGTCAATTCAATTTAACCAACATTTATGAATCAAGAGACTGTGCTGGGTACTGGGGATACAAAGATGAAAAATAGACATCACTAGCTTTAGTGAGTTTACAGGATAATAATGGGGATATGCCTAGTAAGAATGAAGTATAGGTGAAAGAGACACCAAAAAAAGCTAAGAAAATTTAAGAATTCAGGGAATCACATCCATCTGTGAATGGAGGAAATCGAGGAAAATTTCAATCAATAAGCATTTCAGAAGCACCTACTATATACACCAGGCACTGTGCTAGGTACTGAAGTTCCAAAGACAAAAATGAATCAGTGCCTGCCCTCAAGAAATTTACATTCTATCCAGTGAGACAACATACATTAAGTATTTGCAGAATATACATACACATATATATGTATATTAAAATTATATATATCAGCATCTATAAAACAAATACAGGGTAGTTTTGGGATATAAGTACCATCATCTAGGGGAATCAGGAGAGGCTTTATGGAGAAAGTAGACCCTAGGTTGAGCCTTTTTGTTGCTGTTCAGTTGTTTCAGTCATGTTCGACTCCTTGTGATCCCTTTTGGGCTTTTCTTGGCAGTGGTTTGCCGTTTCCCTCTTCAGCCCATTTTATAGAGGAGAAAACGGAAGCAAACAGGGTTAAATGACTTGCCCGGGGTCACACAGCTAGTAAGTGTCTGAGGCTAGATTTGAACTTAGGTCTTCCTGTCTCCAGGCCCAAACAGTGCCATATAGCTGCCCCAGGTTGGGCTTTAGAGGAAGAGAAAAATGTCAACTGGCAGAAATGTGATGGGAGTGTTTTTTTAATATAAGGAATGAGCTGAGCATGTGAAAAGAGAAGAGGCAAGAGAGGACAGGATGAGACGGGGAGCCAATGAACAGTTTAGTTTATCTGGTGTCAGTAATAAAAGAAGCAATGCAAAAGCAATGTAAGGTTTTCATAGGGCAAATCTTCCGAATTTAAAAAGTACTTTGTAAACATAGTTTCTAGTGTTTTCGTCACTATTTCTATATTGAGTAATGCTACTCAACCATTATTATCGATACTAATTTTCAAAGACCTGTTGCTTTCTCATGGCGATGAAGACATTTTTAACCATGTTGTATTCCTCATGCAAACTCACTTTTCCAAATACTATTTGGGCCATAGGATTAAGCCTAGTATTATGAAGATTATATACTAGGAAAAAAATGGAGCTTTCTATTGTATTTCTTTGTAGCGAGTTTTCATTTCAACATATACAGTGATGAAGGAACACAAAACTAATGGGAGGGTCAGTGGACATATAGCTGCAATTAATTCGTAAAATATTCCCAAGAAAGGTCTTTCCATGGATTCATTATTACCTTCTTAGAGATGGAAAGTAAATGTATTTTCTCTGAAAAGTGGAACTCAGAGGCACTGGAATCTAGGCAGTCCAGACTCTTTCTTCCCTGATAGCAAGATGACCAGCATTAGGTCCACTCTCTGAATAACCAAAGGCATTAGGTCCAATATTATTCTGAAAGTCATCATTCTTTTATAGGGAAGGGAGAGCAGGAAGACAAACTGCTAATATAACTTACGATTCTAAATGTAGGCCATGACTCTTAGGCCTGAAACTGACCTGCCTTTCAAATCCAGTGGGTGGTAGTGATGATTTACTATGGAAAAGTTGGGACAAAGGGAATGATAACAAGTGCTTAAGTTAGAGAGCAGTAATAGAACAAATGAATAAAACAAAAAATTTCACAGTAAACATGTATTTAAATGGTAATTTTGCATAATAATTTTTGGTGGATAAATATACTCTTTAATAGCTTAAAATAATTTTATATAGATAAATAATTAATATGTTATAGACAACATTTACATTGATTTCATTATATACTACATCTAATATATAATTTATATGTCATAGCTAACTTGTAATGTATATAACATTTCTATATATGAATAATGTATGCAATAAAATAGATAATTTATAAAGGAACCAAGAAACCATTTTAGCCAGCCAATATTTTATCTCCTTGGCAAGCAAGGAGATGGGACAGTTAAAAACACAATAGAACACAGACATAATTGTAAAATACTGGAGAACAAGGCATATACCTACTTGGTCATCTTTGTAAAAGTTTTGAGAAAGATACATCTATCAGGGATATACTTGATGGAAATGAGAGAAGCATGCTTTGGTCTGGGTTTCTGGCTAAGATGATTGTCTTGATTTCAGTGAGGCATATTATACACTAGGTATTTCCCTAATCTATCAGTGTAATCTATAGTCTTTCATTAATCTAGTCTAGTCTTTCCCTAATCTGTTTAGTCAGAAATGGAAATGAAGTTCATTTGACATAATTTCTTTTATTTTTGATGACTTGTTTTTGCTGTTTCATTATGATCTTTGCTTCACTAAGGGCCCTTAAATCACTTCTTGTAACACATTTTCTAAAATTTTTGCTTCATGTCACACTCTCAAATCTTATATTCTACTGAGAAAATAAAGGCTATTAGACCTGGCCTCTTTTCCTTTTTTTTTTTTTTTTTTGCTTTTTTGGTTAGGCAGTGGGGTTAAGTGACTTGCCCAGGGTCACACACCTAGTAAGTGTTATATGTCTGAGGCCGGATTTGAACTCAGGTTCTCCTGAATCCAGGGCCGGTGCTCTATCCACTGTGCCATCTAGCTGCCCCCCTGTTTTCCTTTACTCTATATTTCAAAACCCTGTGACAACATCCCTCCCTTTCTCCTCATTTCTATTTATCCCTCATGAGGAGATAACCTTCCTCCTCACCAAGGCTAGTCCCAATGCACATACTTTTAATCCCATTCTCTCCCATCTCCTCTGGCAGATTTCCCTGATGTTCACCCCCTTTTATCTTTCTTAATCTTCAATTCCTCCTTTTCTACTGTTTCTTTCCTTGTTGCCTAAAAACATTCTCAAGTCTTCAATTCATCATAAACTCTCATTTGACTCTATTGGATAGTCCAGTCAAGATATCATTCTATATTCTTTCTTCCCTTTCCCCAAACTCTCAGAAAAAGCCATCTGCTTTCCATGTTCTTTCCTTTTATTCCCTTCTCATCTTTTCGTTTAAGTGTACCTTCTTATCTCATCTGTCAACTGAAACTGTTCTCTTCAAAAATAATAGTGATTTCTTAATTACTGAAATGGAGGCCTCATTTCAATCTTGATCCTTCTTGACTTCTCTGCATATATTTGACACTTTTGACTCCTTTTTCCTCCTCGATGCTTTCTCCTCCCTGGGTTTTCATGACACTGCTCCCTTTTGGTTCTCTTCCAGTCTATCTGATCACTCCTCACTCTCTTTTCCAGGATCATCAATAACATTTCCCTTCACTCTTGAGTATACCCTAAAGCATTCTTCTCTCTTTACTCTCACTCACTTGGTGACCTCATCAGATGACATAGGTTTAATTATTCCCTCTATGCTGATGACTCCCAGATCTTTACTTTCATCCCTGGTCCTTGTCCTGAGCTGTAGTACTGTATCACCAATGGCCTACTGGATTGTTAAAAATATTGAATATCCCATAGACATCTCTAACTCCAAACTGAACTCATCTTATCTCCCACACCTGCTCCTTTTCTGAATTTTTCATAATTCTGTCAGTGGCACCACCATCCTTTTAATCACTTTTTGTAAACGTGGTACCATCTTCCACTGTACATTCTCCTTTGTCCCCTGTATATCCACTCAGTAGCCAAATCTTGCCATTTCTTCCTCTGAAGCATCTCCCATATCTGCCCCATTCTTTCCATCCACTTGCCCAGCACCCTGATTTAGTTTCTCCTTGCCTCTTGTTCTTTTCCCCAAGCTTACTCCATTGCTTGGAACATCCCTTGGCATGTCTGTCTCTTAGAATCACTAGCTTCCTTCAGAGCTCAGCTTCCATGCTACCTTCTACATGAAGCCTATTCCTAGTCTCCCAGAGGCTAGTATCTTTCCCCTATAATTACCTTGTATTTGTTTTGCATGTATTTTATTTATGCTTATATAACAACAGTAACTAACATTGAGCTTTAAGGTTTGTAAAGCACTTTACATGTATGATCTCATATGATTCTCACAACAGCTCTTTAATTTAGATGCCATTATTATCATCCCCATTTTACATGTAAGAAAACTGAGGCTGAGCGAAATTAAGCGACTTTCCCTGTGTCACACATCTAGTAAGTGTCTGAGGCTAAATTAAAAGTCAGGGCTTTTAACTCTAAGTCTAACACTTTATCTATTGCACCACCTGTCTGCCTACGTTATACGTGTAGAGGTTGTCTGCTCACTAAATGTAAGCTCCTCCAGAGCTAGGAGTGTTTCATTATCATTTTTTTATCTCTCGCATTTAGCCCTTGATTGATAAAGTTTGTTCTCATATAGCAAGCCAACCACTAAAGTCCTGCAATGTACATTTCCTGAAAGGTTAAGCTAAGCAGCATGGAAGAATGATTTTGATCCATAATATATCCATACAATCACATAGTTTACTATTTGCTAAAATGAACGGACACACCTTTGACTTTAATATGTTATTACTTACATCTTCTACTGTATTTCACTTGTTTTGTTCCTGTTTGATGTTGTTTTCATTTAATTAATAGTTAATATCTTGTTCTTTTGCCTCTTCTTTCTTCATCACTTCACATAAGCTTCTGCATATTTCTTTGACATCTCCATATCTTCGTATTGCTTCTTATGGTCCAATAATATTCCATTATATTCATATATCACAATTTGTCTACCCATTCTCCTTTCATTTGGCACATAGTTTGTTTTTAACTTTGGTTATTACAAATGATACTGCTGTGAATATTTTTGTACAGATGGATCTTTTCTTGCTGCCAATAAACTCCTTGGGGTATAAACCCAGTAGTGGGATTGCTGGACCAAAGGGTATGAGCAATTTTGACTTTTATTCCATAATTCTAAATTTATTTCCATAACAGATTGTGCCTGTTTTCACACCACTCCTGCAACATTAAATATTTTCATCTTTGCCACGTATCTTTTTTTTTTTAACCTGACACATTATCTTGCACTATTAACTTGTGTGATTCTTCTCCCTATCCTCCCATGGCAGCACTCTAAGCTTAAAATCAAGGACTGTATCTTATTAATCTCTTTATCCCTGACATCTAGTATCATGTTTTCTGTACATACATAATAACATCTTTGAGTCTCCGTTTCCTCACACCTAAAATAAGGAGTTTGGATTAGATAATATACAAATACACTGTCAGTTCTAATTCCTATTATCTTTATCCTAATAGATATGCAAAAACCCAATTTGCATATCCTAATAGATATGCAAAAACCCAACTTGACTATTGCTTTTTTTGTTTTTATGTAGGTGTCTGATAACCCAGTGTCCATTGCACCCTCTCAGTACATCTGTGCTCCAGATAGCAAGCACACTTTCCTTGCAGCTCCTGCTCAGCTTCTACTTGAAAAATTCCTACAGCATCACAGCCATCGTTTCTTCCCTCTGTCACTGAAGAATTATGGCCACCCTGTGCTGTCTGTTGATTGTTACCTGAATTTGGGACCTCAGGTAATTTATAAACAAGCATTGAGTGCTCAACTCATAGGAGGTTCAATAATAGGGGAATGGATTTCTTTGAATGATTTTTTAGGTTGTAGGTTTGGAAGGGGCACTTCAGTTTTCCACTTGAGGGAGGATAGATTGATAAATAGAGCACTTATTAAGAGCTTACTATGTTCCAGAAACTGTGCTAAATACCGTCCAGGAGCTTACATTATAATGGAGGAAGACAGCCTCTAAAGGGGAGCTGTGAAGGGGTCTGGGCTACTCCTGTAGTGACATGGTTTAGAAATGGCCTGGAAGTATAGTAGAGGCCTAGATCCCCAACATGATAAGGCCAGAGATGGCCTATCAGAGTCCAGGGTGACTCTAGAGATGAAGTCCAAGGTTTTGGTAGACTTGACTGGAATTGGCATAGTGTAGAAAGGGCCAGGAATTGTGATGGAGGCTTTGTTGTGAGAAAGATAAGGTCAAAGATGACCTATTAGAATCCAGAGTGGTTCAAGGGGTAGAATCCAAGGTTCCAGTGAAACTAAAGCGTATGGTTTTAGTCCATCTAATATCCTGAAAAATTAATATGGTTCCCAAAAGCAGTTAGAACAACATTGGACTGGGAGTCAGCCTAACTTCAAATTCTGATTTTTTTACTGTAGTCTTGGGTAAGTCATTTAATCTTTGAGACTCAGTTTTCTCATCTGTAAAAAGGGGATAAGTGTACTTGAACTATCTATTTCACAGGGTTGTGGGAGAACATGTTTTTAAAACCTTTAAATGTTATAAAAAAAAACCCTTAAAATGTTATACAAATGTGAGATACTGTTATTCTGATCGCACTCTGTGTGTATGTGTGTGTGTGTGTGTGTGTGTGTGTGTGTGTACACATGTATACTCACTAGATACATTGTTGAATATCTTAAGGGAAGCATCTCTTTTTTTTTTTTGTCACCCTCTGCTTCTTCCTTTTTCAGGTTGCTGTTTGTTATGTGAGTTCCAGGCCTCATTCTTTAAACATCAGCTGCTCAGATCTGCTGTTTAGTGGGCTCCTGTTATACCTCTGTGACTCCTTTGTGGTTGCTAGCTTTTTGAAAAAGTTTCATTTTCTCAAAGGTAAGTTACCTGAATGGTTGCACAAGCATAGAGATGCAAAAAAGGACGTTAGAGGTTAATTCCTTCGGTTCACCATTAAATGTCTACTTTGCTAAGTACTGGTGAATTTACAAATACAAATCAACCATGACCTCTTTTTGCAAAGTTCTGACAGTCTACAAGTGGGGATCTATCTATACATGAGGCACTAATAGTGATATAATAAATTATAATTGTAGGTAGCAGAGGTGATTGATGGAGTCTGCTCAATTTAAATCTCCTAATGCACTTTATAAGATTATGCAACATGAACCTTTGCTAGAAGGAGTGCCTACAGTGCACATACAGTGGACACGTGTCCTAGCCCTGACTGAGGGGAAATTCTACAAACTCCTTTGATTAGTCCCCTGTGACTGGGGCTGCATCCAAGATGATTGATGACTGAGCATTAGGGGGAACAGACCCTTAGTCACCAATTATGTTGAATGCATGATTACTCCCCATTATTACCCAACTATAACACAGAGTGGAAGGTGGTAAGGGCACCATACATATCTAGAGTGCTTTGTGAGGTTTGACAAAGAAAAGGTCATTCCTTGGAGGATTAAGGAAAGGCTTCTTGGAGGAGATAGCAATTGAGTAGGGTTTTGAAGAGATGAAGCATAGAGAAGAAGGGGAGAAGTTAGGAGGAGGAGCAAAAGCCAAGGGAAGGAGGAATATTAAAGAAGGAAGGGTCACCACATGCTCCAGAGAAGCTAATTCAAATCAGCAAGTTAACAAGTACCTGTGTACCAGGCACTATGCTGAATACTGAGGATAAAAAGATAAGAAGAAAGAAATCGCTTCCTGCCCTCAAGGAGCTTATATTCTAATGGTAGAAGATAACACATAAAAGGAGCTAAAAAATTGGGGGGGGATGTGGGTGGAGCCTGGAGAATGAAGGATGACTGCTCTGTGCCACTTCTCATAGCGGAGGTTCCAGTGAGAGAAGGGAGCCACTGGGGTGAAGGGAGAAGGTAGCTGAAGAATGAGGTAAAAAGGATGTCAGTGGTGGTTTTTGAGAGGATAGTTTCTGGAGAGTGGTAAGGACAGAAGCCAGATTGAAATGGGAAAAGGGCTGTAGAGAAATAAGTAGTTTGAAAGGAAGTGGAGATATTGTGTGCAGACTTTTTCTAGAAGTTCTGTGGAAAAAGAAAGCTGGGATAGTAGCAGTCAAGGAAAGGGTTCTTTAGGTTTAAGGATCAGGATTTATAATTCAATGGCAAAGAGAATTCCTCGGTGAATGATTTGGACTACTGGGAGATTAAGTAGCTTGCCTATGGTTACACCACTATTTTATGTCAGAGGCAAGACTTGAACTAAGGTCTTCTTAATTTTGAGGCCAGCTCTCGATCCATTACACTGCCTCCTCCTCCTCCTCCTCTTCTTTTTTTTTAAGATTGAGGAGACCTTCGAATAGTGGATCATAGGATATAGAAGTGGAAGCACCCTTAGAGCTGGTCACAGGAAGGAGCCAGTGGCAAGTATTAGAAGTGCTAAGTGCGGGGGTAGTTGGGAGCAGAAACAGGTGATGAAGCAAGGACTTGGAGAAGATGGCATATGTGGAGGGCGCATACGGAGAAGTTAACTTGGCACTGAGTGGGTCCTGCTTCAGAGACATGGAGGAAGAGAAGGAAGGCAGATTGAGACATTGAGATAAAGAGACAGGAAGGCCCTTTGCTGGATGTTGAACTGGACACAAAGATGAATATGACAATCCCTGATTTCAAGGCCGGTGTAATCTAGTTGGGGAGATAGGACATGTCTATAACAAGATCATTAACTAAATATTAAGGGTTTTATATAATATCTTATTTGCTTGTCTTATTTTCAAATTTGTAACAATAATTTTAAAGGAGTTAATTAACCAGCCTATAAGCCAGCATATACCAAGTGCTAAAAGATTAGTACAGACAATGAAAGCTACATGACAGCAGAAAGAATGACTCGCTATTGGCTGGAGTAATTAGAAAGGGCCACAAAGAGGAGGTGGATCTGGGACTGAGCCTTGAAGAATGGGTAGAAGTAGAAGGATGCATAATGATAAATGTGCATAGGTGCATGTATATATATGCATGTGTGTATGTGCAGGTACATATATCTATCAACACATCTTGGTTGGCATGTGTTGCATGTGTATATATCCATGTACATATATACACATATCTATGTACTATATATATGTATACACGCATGTACATATATACACACATATATTTTACCTTGCTCTCTCTCTCTCTCTCTCTCTCTGTATACAGAGAGTAGGCAGGATAGTGTAGAGACCTAGGAAGGACTGAGTTCAAGTCCTGCCTTTGATACACATAGGTTGTCTGGCCTTGGGCAAGTTACTTCATGTCTTAGAGCTTTAGGTAATGCTCTAAGATTACATATTTCAGAGAAGCTTCCAACCTGCATTGGTAGGAGTATCCTATCATAGGAGTTCTTTATACAATGAACTCACAGATCCGGTCTGTATCCCTCTATCTCTCCTATGGCTATATATGATCAGGTGGACTGGGGGATTATGTAGACTTACCCATGTTGTTCCCTCTTTATTTCTCTTCCTAGTTCCCTTTTTACCTCCTTCTTTTCTGCTTCCATGTTATCTCCTATATCTGATTATTAGCACTTCTCCTATTATCATAAGTTTTCAAAAGATTTAAAAATGTTATCATATGGGCTTGGACTTTTGATCCTTTCCATCTTGGCTGAATGAATCATTTTCAGTGGTTGAAAACACACAGGTCAGGCCATAATTGTCATTTTCACACATTTTTGTTTCTCAAGGTATAAGAAAAAGAATGGTGGATTTGGAGTCAGGAGACCTGGGTTTTTCAAATCCTGGCTCTGAGCCTTACTAGCCATATGATTTGATCAAGTAACTTAAATTCTCTGAAATTGTTTTCTGATTTGTAAAATGATGTCAGTAATACTTGTACTGTATACCTCCATGGAATTTTAAGGAAACTTTTTTTAAATAAATCATATGTAACCTCCGGTTACAACAATACAATAGGATTATTTTAAATCTAAACTCTCCACTGCTTTAATGAGTTTATTTTAGAAAAAAAAAGTTAGACGTACAATCATAATTACTCTGAACTCCCATTTGGGAAAATTTCCAACATTTAGACAGAAGTATGGTTTTCTGTATTAATTTACATTTATATCTAACTCTAGTTAGTCCCTGACATCTTTGTGGTTGAAGCAAAATGTAGGTTACTAGAAACTTTTGGGTAATAAAGCAGCAGATTATTTTACAGTATGTGTTGATAAATAGGCAAGGTGGGGTGTGGTAAGGGGGTGGGAGGAAGTAGGAAGAGGAGTTGGAGAAAAAGTAGACCTTTTGTTTTGTTTTGTTTTGCTTTTTTTTTTTGGAATTTCCCCTCAGTTCTTGAGAAGGTGTATCCAAATGGTAGGCTAAGTCCCAGATTTCTTCTCTGAAATGCCTGTAGAGCTGATCAACCTCCTTGTTATTTCACTTCTCTGGCAAAGCTCAGTCTTATCTTCTCTTTCTTCTTTCACTGGTTACCCCTGGGCTGCTGGTTCTTTCCAGCTCAGCTTTGGATGTCCCCTTTCCTTCCTCTCTGCTGTGCAACCCTCAGATTCTCCAGTTCTGAGATGGATACTTCTTTTTTTAAACCTTTACGTTGATTTTATTTTTAATTTATGAAACAAAACAAACATTTTCATTACAAAATAGAATAAAACAAGATGATTGTACACACAACTGTAAATCCATTATGGACAGCTTACTATTCCTGTTGAAATATATAATAAAGTTATCATGTAAATTTTTTTCTCCCCTTGCCCCCTGCCCTAGAGATGGTTACCATTAGATACAAGTATGTATGTGTGTGTATGTATATATATATATGTATATATATACACACACACACACATATATGTATATATGTACTATAAAATTCTATATGTCTATTTATAAATTCTTTCTCTGGATGCAGATAGCATCTTCATATGTCCTTTGAAATTAATTTGGGTATTTATAATATTCAAAATGACTTAGTTGCTCAAAGTTGTTCTTAAAACAATATTGCTGTTGCTATATACAATGTTCTCTTGGTTCTGCTCATTTTGCTCTTTATTATCTTGTGCAAGTCTATCCATGATTTTCTAAAATCATCAAGGTCATCATTTCTTATAGCACAGTATTATTCCATCATGATCATATACCACCGCTTGATCTGCCATTCCTCAATTGATGGGTATCCCCACAGTTTCTAGTTCTTTGCCTCTACAGAGGGAGCTGCTGTAAATATTTTAGAATTGATCAATGATCAAAGAATATGAACTGGTAGTTTTCTGATGAAGAAATCAAAACAATTTATAGTCATATGAAAAAATGCTCTAAATTATTATCAATTAGAGAAATGCAAATTAAACAACCTTGAGATATCATTTTACACGCAGAGGAGCTAAAATGAAGGGGAAAACAACAAATGTTGGAGGGGATGTGGAAAATTGGTTCCTTAATTCATTGTTGGTGGAACTGTGAACTGATTCAACCATTTTGGAGAACAATCTGGAATTGTACCCAAAGAGTTATTAAACTACCTCTACTCTTTGACCTGGCAATACTAGGTTTATTTCCAAAGACGATTAGGAAAAAAAAGAAAAGAACCTGTATGTTCTAAAATATTTATATCAGCTCTCTTTTTGGTGACAGATACTTCTTTTTACACAAGTTTCTCTGGGTATGACCAAAGTCCCTTATACTATGTCTTTTATTGATTTGAGGAGAGCAGAGGCCTTGTTCATAGCTAGTTCCAATTGACTTAATCATAAAATGTTCTAAACCTAACAGAGCTTACAATCTAATGAATGAAGGCAACACCCAAAAGGCAGTTGAAAAGAGGAGGAGTGGAGATGATGGAGTTCAGTCCATAAGAGTGTAACCCAATAGGAAATGCAAAAATGTCTGTCTGGGAAGCCCTCTTTAAATGGATGCTTTGGGAATAGTTATTTGTTCCTCTCTCTAGCCCACCAATAAGAGGGGCAAAGTGTACTGATTAGGTATGAGTACTAAGACTGAAACAATCTTTCAGGATAATGAGTTTACTGAGGTATAGGGAGTCTGTTCAAAACAGAAACAGTATACAAATGTGAGGTTGTTTTTATTGTTGTTATTCATTCTTTTTCTCATTTGTGAAGGCGCCACCTTATGTGTCATCTGTCAGGATCGTAACTCGCTCCGTCAGACCGTTGTACGCCTGGAGTTGGAAGATGAGTGGCAGTTCAGGCTTCGGGATGAGTTCCAGACAGCCAATGCCAAAGAAGACAGGCCGCTTTTCTTCCTGACTGGACGGCACATTTGAAAGAAACAGCAACCCAGTTTTCTGAAAGAGCAGATACTTCAGAGAGCTCTCCTGCCAAGGTGACTGAAGGAAACCATAGCACATCAGAGCTGAAAAAGAACTTTAGAGCTCATCAAGTTCACTTCACCTATTTTTTATAGGTGGTAGGACTAGCAACCTAGAGGAGTTCAGTGATTTGTCCTTGATCACACAGTGAGTTACTGACGGAGCTGGAAACCCAGGTCTTCAGAATGCCTATTTCACAGGGAAACTTTCTGCAGAGGCAAGATCACCATCAATAGTGCCATACTCATAGATCTGCATAGAGAGCTTCAGAGCTGGAAGGGATCTTTGGAATCCAGTCCATACCCCTCACTTTTATAGAGAGGTAAACTGAGGCACAGAGAGTAGAAGTTTAGAGAAGAGCCAGGGATGTATGACCCAGGTCTCGATTCTCATTCTCTTGTGCCCTTTCCACCACAACACACTGCTGAGACTTCTGGGACATTTTGAAACCATTTCTTTAAGAACAAAGTTTTGACAGTTCATCATGTTATCTATATGCTTCCATGACAGAAACTAGTGGTCACTTTTGGGTGACATTGTACATTATTGGATACTTGTTCTTGAAGTGGAAACATCTTTATGTTTGTAAGAAGGACCAATTACAAAGTATTCTTTTTCTGTCCATGTTACCATACAGGAAATATTTAGAAACAGTGTTGAAAATCACAAATCCTAGAGATATAGGATACATCTAAAAAGAGGTCATTGGAATAAAAATTACACAATCCTAGAATTTTGGTAGTATTTAGATCAATCAATTAATTGATCAAGAAGCCCCTATTAAGGGCTTTCTGTGTGCCAGGCACTGTGTCAAGCACCAAAGATAGAAGGAAAGACAAAAACATGTTCTCTGTCTTCAAGGAACTCAAATTCTGAAGAGAGGGACAACATGCAAACAACTATGTATACATTACATATATACAGCATAAATGGGAGATAATCTCAGAGAGGAAGGCATTGGCAATGGGGAGAGGGGAGGAAAAAGGATAATAATAGATTGACTAAGTTTTTCATACTTTAGAAACCTGAACAAAGGTGCCAAATTAGTCACTTAATGAGTGCATTCAAGCACACGATTTAATTTCTTTTAAAAATGTTTTATTCGTGGCTTTTCCTTCTTTATGCCAATCATTTCCCAATATACCCTGCCCCACTCCCACACATTGAATTCTTCTTTTTTAACAAAGAAATATACAAAACCAGTGGACAAAGTCAGAGAGTAAATAATACCATTTTGTCCCTGTGGTCCTCCACCTCTCTACTGAAATGAGAGAAGTGAGTTTTATCATCTGTCATGTGGTTTAATTTCCTAACAAAGTTGTATACTCTGGTTGGCATTAAATTTTCTGCATGAGAACAATGTAGAGGACTATCTCTTGCCAAGAGTGAAAATGAAAGGACATGTCCTTAAATGCTGTTAAATAAAATGTGTTCTAGAGAGGAAATTATATGGTGGATCTCTGAGGGTCCTTTAGAAACAGGAATTGATTTACAGAGAAGTGAGAATGGAATTGTTCAGTTCACTCAAAAAAACAACAACCCAGAAATGATGGATTAGCACAGGGCCTGTGGCCATTTGTTTACTAAAAGCTTATTTTGGAACTCTTCATTAAGGCTTGGCTTTGCTGGCAGGTAAAGTGTACCACTTGAAGTAGTTGCATAAATTAAGGACTTCCAGGAACCTAAGTACAGTGTGAGTGGGAGCAAAAGGGTGCAAGGAATAACCAGATTCCAGAAGGGACTGACATTTGAGGTAACATCTGAGCCAAAGGGTATTTTTCCAAACATCCCCTTTTAGATGGCATTGAAACGTGCTAATGGGCAGCAGTCACTTTTGCCTGGCCTGGAATTGAGGACATTGCATGAGAAATAATGGAACCAAGAAGAAATAGTTTTGAAAGATGGTGCCAAAGATTGTGTATTGATTTTTCTTTTTCTCCTTAAGGAAAACAAAACAAAACAAAACAAAACTCAAAGCTTGTGAATATGGCAGATTTGGGTTGATGTTTACAAAATTATTAGTAAATGGTAACTTTGTATATTTCATTATTCCTATTTTGGAATGAAACTTTACTTCCTGTAGTTTATTTGTCTTTTGTAAATAGTATCTCCTGTGCAGCTTTCCCTTATGTTGCATTAGTTAATTTAAACTTTAAAAGGTCTTAATATTCGTGTTGGTTCCAGCCTTTATAAATAAAACTTGCAATGCACTTATTGGTTTCTGATTATTTGCGCAGTTATGAAATTCTGGGCATCCTGAATTACTATTGATATAAAAATATTCATTACCGACTTCAGGAGCTTGACCTTTTGTTGCAAGTGGGTAAGTTTTTCATCAGAATTTTGGTTATTTGTGGCATCCAACTTAAAAATATGCGGGGGCATTTTTATCTAGTGAACTAGCTATAACCAAAGTATGAGATTCTTAGTCTGGGATTCAGAACCCATTTTCTGGTGTTATAGGCCCTTTGTCAGTCTCTTTCTGCCCTATTTCTTTTCTTTTTTTAAAACTTATTTTCTTATGTTTTCCCTTTACGTGAGACTGGAGGAGGCAGCTGTGATAGGGTGAAAGAGAAATAAATTTGGAGTCAAGACTTATCTATATCTTTATCAGGGTGATTATGTCTGACGGGGTCTATACAACACTTTTCTCCCCTCGTCATCTATCTTTTTTTAGAGAGGAGGAAGTTTATGTGCGGTCAGGAACTATGAATTTGGCTTCTTTGTATTTGTCCTTTTTCATTTACAATACTGTAGCCATTGTATGCATTGTTCTCATGGTTCTGCTTACTCTGTTCCACACACAAGGCTCATTATGTTTCCATGCCAGAGTTTTATTCCCGGGAAGTCTCTAAAATCCTAGGTTTAGCTTTTTCATGGTTGCCCCAAATGTGAGTTCCCAATTGCTGTGTTGTCTTGTAGAGGTGGCTAGGTGGCACTGTGCATAGAGTTCTGGATTTATAAATAGGAGCACCTGAGCACAAATGCAGCCCTAGGCACTTTACTAGCTGTAGGACCCAGGGTACTTACCTCTCTGGGCTTCACTTTCCTTATTTGTGAAATGAGGGTTTTGGAGTCAATGGCTATTAAGGTCCCTTATGGCTTTAAATTTATGATAACATGATATAAATATTGGGTAGAAGACATTTTATTTTATCTACCCCTGAAAATGTGTAAGATGTAAAGAAATGTTCATTCATGTTATATAACATGCAGCATTTTTTGGACTATATTTTTATTTATTTTGTTACCTATTTCTCAATTACATTAAATATTATTTAACATTCATTTAAGAATTTTTTGAATTCCAAATTCTCTCCCACTCTCCTACCCTTACTCCACTTATTGAGAAGGCAATATGATGTCAATTATACATATGAAGTCATACAAAACATATTTCAATATTAGCCATGTTGCCAAAAAACCCTCCAAAATGCAAGAAAAATAAAGCGAAAATTAGTACTCAGAGTTCATCTGTTTTCTCTCTGGAAGTGGATAGCATTTTTCATTGTGAATCTTTTGAAATTGTCTTAGATCATTGTCTCAATCAATGCTCAATCTTTCACAATTGATCATCATTATAATATTGTTGTTACTGTGTACAATGTTCTAGTTCTACTCACTTCACTTTGCACCAATTCACATAGGTCTTCCCAGGTTTTTCTGAAAGCATCCTGCTCATTATTTATTATAGTACAATAGTATTCCATCACAGTTATATACTCATACACTGCCACTTTTTCAGCTATTCCCCAATTCATGGGCATCTTCTTAATTTTCAGTTCTTTGCTACCAACAAAGAGCTGCTATAAATATTTTTGTACAAATAAATTCTTTTCCCTTCTTTTTGATCTCTTTGGTTTTGTATATTTTTATAGATATAAATGGAGATTTATTAATGACATTATGAATAATGAGTGGTTCAAAGAACAAATCATAGAAACAACCAACAACTATGCAAGAGAATGATAACGGTGAGACAACACATCAAAATTTCTGATATGTAGCTGAAACAGTCCTTAAAGAAAAACTTACATTCCTGAGAACATACATAAACAGAATATACATAAAAAAGAATTAGTGAATTGTATAAGCAATTAAAATGAGAAAATCGACAAAGGGACAAACCCCAAATAAGTTAAAAATAGGAAAATTTGAAAATTAAAGTAGAAATAAATTAAAACCAAAAAAAAAATAGAGCTGAAGAACCAAATGAAAATTTAATTCTTTGAAAAAAACTAGCAAAATTGACCAACTTGTAGATAACTTGATTTAAAAAGAGGCAGAAAATTAAATTATAGAATAAAAAATGAATTAGATGAAAGCATAATAAAAGAAATAAAAGGAATTATCAGAATCTACTATACCAATATATGTCAACAAAACAGAATTTAAAGGAAACAGAAGATTTTTTTTAGTAAATAATAGAAAATATTTAAATTAACAGAACATCAAATAGAGATCTTAGACAATCCAATTTCAGAAAATGAAATTTAACCAATTGTAAAGGAACTACCAAAGCAGGAAGTGGGGAGTGATCCTGGGGCAGCTGGTTTCCTGGGGCAGCTGGTTTTATAGGAGAATTCTATCAAACCTTTAAAGAAAAATTAATACCTATACTACAAAATTTTTCTTACAAATTGAGAAAGAAAACACTCAACCAAACTACTAGAGACAAATGTAATTCTAATACACCAAAGAAGGATAAAACAATAATGGGACAATATTATTGATGAATATTTGCAAAATTTTAAATAAAATCATGCCCCCCTAAAACATTGCAATATATCTGTTTAAAAATTTCATTGTAATTGAGTTGGATTTATACCATGGGTGGAGGACTGATTTTATATTGGGAAAATCACATAATTAATCATATTAAAAACAAAAATATACACAATTTTGAGCATTTTATATATTGTTCTGCTTTAGCTTACTTATCTTTGATCTCTTTGGGAAACAGACGTAGTAGTGGTATTGCTGGGTCAAAAGGTGTGCACAATTTATAGCTCCTTGGGCATAGTTTCAAAT